CCCCTCACTCCTCCCAGTTTCCTCGGACAGAGGCCCCGCTGCAGACGCTTCACATGGACGTGTGGGGCCCGGCCCGCGTCCGTGGACAGGGTCACGAGCGCTACTTCCTGCTGGTGGTTGACGACTACTCGCGTTACACCACAGTCTTCCCCTTGCGCAGCAAGGGTGATGTCACTGAGGTGTTGATCGACTGGATCCGCGCAGCTCGTCTCCAGCTCAGGCAGAGCTTCGGCTCGGACTTTCCTGTTCTGCGTCTGCACTCTGACAGAGGTGGAGAGTTCTCCTCTGGCCTTCTGCGAGCCTACTGTCGTGCACGAGGCATCCGCCAGACCTTCACGCTTCCGGACTCTCCACAGCAAAATGGGATTGCTGAGCGCCGCATTGGCATGGTCATGGACGTCGCCCGTACGTCCCTGATGCATGCGGCTGCCCCCCATTTTCTGTGGTCGTTTGCGGTTCGGTACGCGGCGCATCAGATCAACCTTCACCCCAGGGTCTCCATGCCGGAGACCTCCCCAGCCTTGCTGTGGACGGGGAAGGTTGGCGATGCGTCTGCGTTCCGTGTCTGGGGATCTCGGGCGTTTGTCCGCGACTTGTCTGCGGACAAGCTGTCCCCTCGTGCTGCTCCTTGCGTCTTCCTTGGCTTCCCCCCTGACGCGCCAGGGTGGCAGTTCTACCACCCCACCTCTCGCCGTGTTCTGTCCTCCCAGAACGTCACGTTTGACGAGTCGGTCCCCTACTACCGCCTCTTCCCCTACCGCACTCCGTCCCTCCCCCCGCCACCGCTCTTCCTTGTACCAGGTCCCCCCCCGGTAGACCCCCTCCCCCCTCAGGGTCCTGCCCCTTCAGGTGTGTCCCAGGTAGACGCAGTCGAGCCTGTCGAGGTTATTGGTGACTCTGGTGCTGCTGAGGGTGCTGAGCCTGGGGGTGCTGACTCTGGGGGTGCTGAGCGTGTGGGTGCTACGCTTGGGGGTGCTGAGCCTGAGGGTGCTACTACTGGGGGTCCTGAGCCTGGGGGTGCTGAGCCTGGGGGTGCTACTACTGGGGGTGCTGAGCCTGGGGGTGCTGAGCCTGGGGGTGCTACGCCTGGGGTTGCTGAGCCTGGGGGTGCCACGCCTGGAGGTGCTGAGCTTGGGGGTGCGGAGCCTGAGGGAGCTGGGCCTGCTCGTGTGGCGTCTGGCGGTGCTGAGCCTGGAGGTTCTCCGGGTGCTTCGTCTCGGCGGGAGCCACTCTCTCCACAGGAGCTGCGCGAGTGGTTTGCCCGGCGCTGGAGGCGTGCTGCTGGAGCTGGAGGTTCGTCGGCTGCTGAGGGTGCTGGTGCCGCGGGTCCCGGAGGTGCTCGTACTGGGAGTACTGGAGCTGCTGGGCCTGCGGGTACGACTGGAGCTGGAGCTGCTGAGGGTGTTGGCGCTGAGGCTACTGCTGTCGGTCCTGGAGGCGGTCCTGCTGGGGGTGCTACTGGTGCTGCTGGAGGTACTGGAGCTGGAGGTGCTGCTGGCGCTGGTGCTGCCGCTGGGGGTACTGGTGCTGTCCCTGCTGTGTCTGGAGTCGCCGCGCGGCCTAGGCCGTACTTCGTTCCGCTCCTTCAGCAGGTTCTTGGTCTCCCGCCTTCTACTGGTCCTCCTCCTCCCTTAGAGTGTCCACAGCCTGTCCCGTCACAGTTACAGTTACAGCCGGCCTCCCCACTGCCCGCTCCTTCTCCCTACACTGGTCCTACTGGAGGTCTTGCTGAGCGTCGTGAGCCTGCGTCTCGCCCTGCGTCGCCTGTCCGTGCTGCTCGCACTAGTGGTCGTGGTTCGCGTCAGCGTCCTCCTCCTGTCCCTGGCACGCACCGGATGTCTCTGCGTCCGTCCACTGCTCCTCTGCGTGCCCCTTTGCCTTCTCCTCCTGAGTCCTCTCTTCCTGCTCTTCCTGACCCGGAGTCGGACTCTCTTCGTGCTGCCAGTCCTACTGTCACGCGTCTCCCTGCTACTGTTGTCACTGACCCTTCCTTTGAGTCCACTGCTGCGTCTGCCCTAGTTACTGAGCTCGTCGACTTTGCTGCTCGCTGTCGTCTAGACTACGCTGCTAGTCTTGTTGCTGAGTCTGAGTCTGTCTGTCCTCCGTCCGTCGGGGGTGAGTGTGCCCTTGGCACGGACGTCCTTGAGGACAGGCAGGAGGAGTTCCAGTGTTTGGCTGCTGCCTCACCTCATCTCGTGTCCGTACTGCTTACCCCTGAGGGAGAACCGGATGCACTTGACATCCCGACTCCGCGCTCTTACGCGGAGGCGATAGAGGGTCCCTACTCCTCTCAGTGGCAGGCAGCTATGGACGCAGAGATGGCTTCCTGGAAGTCCACAGGCACCTACGTTGACGAGGTTCCCCCGCCTGGGGCGAACATCGTCAGTGGTATGTGGATTTTCAGGGTGAAGCGGCCGCCGGGTTCTCCGCCTGTCTTCAAGGCGCGTTACGTGGCTCGTGGCTTCAGTCAGCGGCAGGGAGTTGACTACTTTCAGACCTTCTCTCCCACCCCGAAGATGACCACTCTTCGGGTACTGCTGCACATAGCTGCTCACCGCGACTACGAGCTGCACTCTCTTGACTTCAGCACTGCTTTCTTGCAGGGCAGCCTGCACGAGGAGATCTGGCTGCGTCGCCCACCTGGCTTCACTGGGTCTTTTCCTCCTGGCACCCAGTGGAGCCTCCGGCGGCCAGTCTACGGTCTCCGCCAGGCACCGCGTGAGTGGCACGACACACTGAGGACTACACTTGCGGCTCTTGGGTTTGCTCCCTCTACTGCCGACCCGTCGCTGTTTCTGCGCACCGACACTTCTTTGCCGCCGTTCTACATCCTCGTGTACGTCGACGACTTGGTCTTCGCCACAGCTGACACTGCTGGACTCGCCCACGTGAAGTCCGAGCTGCAGAAGAGACACACGTGCACAGACCTGGGTGAACTGCGCAGCTACCTTGGCTTGCAGATCACCCGGGACAGAGCACGCCGCACCATTACCCTAACTCAGTCACACATGGTGCAGCAGGTCCTTCAGCGCTTCGGCTTCACGTACTCCTCGCCTCAGGCCACTCCTCTGCCTACTCGCCACTCGCTCTCAGCTCTGCCTTCGGATGAGTCCGTAGAGTCGAGTGGCCCGTACCCAGAGCTTGTTGGCTGCCTCATGTACCTGATGACCTGCACACGACCTGACCTTGCATACCCTCTTAGCATTCTTGCACGCTATGTTGCTCCTGGGAGACACAGACCGGAGCACATGGCTGCAGCGAAGAGGGTGTTGCGCTACTTGTGCAGTACGTCGGGCATGGGGCTTGTGCTTGGAGGGCAGAGTCCAGTGGTCCTCACTGGGCACGCAGACGCTTCTTGGGCCGACGACCAGGCTACGCAGCGGTCGTCACAGGGTTACACCTTCAGCCTTGGTTCCGGCTCTGTTTCGTGGCGGGCTACCCGCTCGTCTTCTGTTCTCGGCTCCAGTTGTGAGGCTGAGATCTACGCCGGGGCCATGGCTGCACAGGAGCTTCGCTGGCTCACCTACCTGCTGACTGACCTCGGAGAGCCGCCTCGTTCTCCTCCAGTGCTGTACGTAGACAACAAGGCCATGCTGGCCTTGTGTCGAGAGCAGAGACTGGAGCACAGAACGAAGCACATTGCTCTCCGCTACTTCCTTGCTCGTGAGCTACAGCAGCGTGGTCAGCTGCGGCTTGCGTACGTGGCCTCTGAGGCCAACACTGCTGATATCTTCACCAAGGCACTTGCGCCTTGTGATCATCAGCGCTTCTGTACTCAGCTGGGTCTTGTGCCTACCTTGCCTCACTTGCTCACCCCTTGACCTTGTTTGTACTGTTGCATATATATATACACCTGCTCTTGCTTGTCTAGCCTTATATATATATGTAATCCTGCATGTGAACTGGCCTTGTGGCCTTGAACTTGTGCTCGGAATGTGTGGTGACTTTGTGATCCACCCTGAGCTTGCTTTGCTTTGCTTGACTGGTCTTGTGACCCCTTGTTCTCCCCCACTTTGCCTATGGGGGTGTGTCAGATTTATATGACATAGCTACTGTAGGCTATAGTGGGGTAGCACATATGGGGTACAGTTTTCTAGGGTTTGCTTTTGTACCCAACTTTCCCTTAGTCAATTCATTCCTCGTTTCTTCTCACTTCGCGCGCCAATGACGTTGCAGGAGTTCCGGACGGTCTGAAATGCTGTCCGGACGGTTTCAGCGGCGTAGAACGGACGACGCTTCGACAAAAAAGTGTCAGTCATCGTACGGACGATGGCGACGTCGCAAGGGGTCTTGCGAAGTTTCTAGCGATCAACGGCGAAACTGGTAACCCTACAAAAGTCCGGACGGGGCCTCCGTCCGGACGATGAAGAGTGAAAAAGTTACGCGCCCTTAGCCCTGCGTCAGGAGGTTTAGGGGAAACCCCTTTTGGTATTACCCGTGCGTCAGGATGCTGGAGAGTGGGGTGAGAGCACAATGACTAGTGCGTGCAGGAAATAACAAGGCTTCAGGCGAAGGTGATGCTGACGCACTTTCCGTCCAGACCAGACTACAACCAAGGCAAGCACACCGTCAAAACTGTGTAGAACCAGTTTGCCATGGCGGACGCGGCGTTTCTCTCTACAATACGACCAAGTACAGCCTGTGTGTTCTCCTCCAAGGCTTCGCACGCGTCGAACTCGGGAGATTGCGTGCGATTAGGACGTGCTTCTCTCCTGCCTTGTCTTCGGTCTGTCACATTTTCGCAGAAGCACAGCCAGCGTATAGCATTTCCGGGATCAAGATTACAGAGTAGGCGTGCGAAATTCGTCGTTGCAGTCGCCGCAGACGATTTTACATCGTTCACGGACGAGGATTGGCTGGCGAAGCTTCCGGACAAATCATCCGCGTTATACGCATGCAGCTTACCGTCGATCGAGGCGTGGCTCCGATCGCTAGGGTTTCAACAATCGGCCGCGAAGCCTGAGATCTGGCGACTTGAGCGGAGCGATTGGCATGCGGAGCTGGTCACGGATGTAACTGATGTAGTTGTGAGGTGCGTGCCTGCCATGTGATTTTCGAGAAGTCTAAAAATATGTATCGTTACATGCGAATTCTACTGTGAGCGACTGGCATGCGGAGCTGGTCACGGATGTGACAGATGTGGTTGTGAGGTGAGCGCCTGACGTGCGATTTCTGAACCGTCTCGAATTTCGTCTCCTTACACGCGGACGTTCTCATGGAGCCACTGGCATGCGGAGCTGATCATGGATGTACCGTAACAGATGTGCTTGTGAGGTGAGAGCCTGACCTGTGGTCAATGAGCAAGAACAAGGTAAATTCGAGTTGTTGAAGAAGAGAATTCGAGTGTGAATGACGGTTTTCTCGTTTCCTAGAACAACCAGCTTGAAGGGTCATGGTAAGGTGAGTCAAGGATAGACAATGGTCGCGGGAGGACTCCATTCATGCTAGCTTGCTTATTCTCTTGATTGACTGACTTTGACTTAACGCAGAAAGCTGACATTCTGTTCTGTATGAACCTCCCAATCCCATCCAGTTCCTGCCTTTCTCTCCTGGCTTTCGTTTGTTCCCGTTTCACATTTTTTCAAACCTTTTCTTCATCCAGTGATAGTCTAGTTACCTATCTTTTTGCTTCAGTCAGTTTCATTTTGTATCGCTTCCACTCCCTCCTTGATCTGCTGTCATCGCCAGGTACTTGAAGAGCGGTCCTGGTAATCTGAGCAGAGACATTGAACGGAAATTTAGCTACTCTTTCAGCAGAGAGGACGTGGAGAAGGCAATTCTGGATGGCCCTTGAGAAGGTCTTATTGGATCTTCGATTATTTGGTTGGTTCATTCACGCCCAAGTAGCTGCGTACACTACTGGGGATGCTGTCGTCTTTCGTTCGGAGTTGACATTTGCATTTTTCTGCCTCTGCAGGTTACGGTATATCCTTATCAGACTTCATTTTTCTGGAGGCTCTCCATTTATTCACGACCTCAGAGCAGAAGACTTGCTGGATCGAAGCAAGTTGTCAACTTGATTTCTATCAGGAGCTAGCAGTGTATTGGCAAAAAACATGAATCATTTTTATCTGTGCCAAGAGAAATACCATAACGCAAATTTGGCTCTCTAATATCTAGGCATTTGGGGCGTCTGGTATGAACACATCTTCCTTGCTGCCACTCACAATGGCTCCAGCAGCTCCAGCAGCGCCAGCAGCAGTGCCTTTGTCAGAAGCAACTCTACCATGTAACCCATTGTCACCTCTTCCAACCACAGTAACCACTGCGGTTCCATTTCTGGGAACACAACCCAATCCGCACTTGCCACTGCCACCCCCTTCACTGCAACTCCCTCTAGCACCACCATTGCCTCCTTTGCTGTTATAGCCTCCTGCATCACCATTGCCTCCTGCATCGCCATCGCCTCCTCCTGCAGTACCACCGCCTCCTGTCTTGCCGCCACCACCTGTACAACCATCACTTCCTGTACAAGCATCGCCTCCTATGCGGCCTTCGTCTCTTGTATCACCGTCAGGTTCTGTACCACCTTCACCTCCTGTGTTGCCATCCAAGCACATAGGCTCCATTCCCAAAAATGAGTCTCTCCCTCCACCACGCCCTTCCTTCTCCCGCCGAAACAGCACGCTTGCATGCGCCCTGCTCTCCTTAGCGAATCTTGATGGACTCTGTTGCAAACCACCCATCCTACATGGGCTAGTACCCGTATGTACAATCCTGCTGCCTAGCCTTGAAGGACTATGATGAACGCCCCCCGTACCAGACAAATTGTGGTTTACCAGCTGGGTATGTACAGTGCTCCCAAGCCTAGACGGGAGGTTCGGAATCTGAACTGGGCCTTTCGCGGGGCTGTGGCTCACGTGGCTATGTACAGTGCTGCCGAACCTGGACGGGCTGTGAAACGCACCAATGACACCAGGGCTATGCACCCCTCCAATGCCAGGGCTGTGCATGTGGGAGTAGAATGCTCCAAGTGCTCCGAACCTGGACGGGCTTCTCGCCAAGAGAGCCGGGCTGTGGATCCTCACGAGATGCGAAGGACTGTGGAAGCCCAGAAGCCTCGAGGGGCTCTGAAGCCCAGCGATTCCCGAGAGCCTACACGGGCTGGTTCGCGCATGCAGCCGTGCAGGGTGGTGCAACCCAGCAGCAGCCTTCACAGGGCTGCGGATATGTGGAAGGTGTGCCGGGCTGTGCATCCAGAAGGACGAGGCTGGCAACAGCAACGTGGGACTCTCACTCCGGCTTTGGGACTGTCTCAAGCCCTCATTCGGGCCATGATTCGGGCTTGCGGTGGTTCCTGCAGGGGACATGTTTTTGCCGCTACTATTTTTCCGGCCCTTGCTGATGCCATCTTTTGCACCTCCCTCTTCCCCAGCACCTCCCTCCTCCCCTTCCACTTTCTCCCCCGCCTCTTTCTTCCCGGTCGCTTTCTCCCCTGCCGTCCCATTTCCCCCCGGCTGCTCTCTGCTGCTCCTGGAGTCAAGAAGAGCTGATGAGGGCAGCACAAGGTGCAGTGGGCTGGTATGGCCCTTATGGGGGGCTTCTATCGAGCTGCGAAACACCCCATCACCACCCTCGACTGGGGCGTAAACGGAGTTGGTACTACTGCCCTTATGGGTGGCTTTAAGGGGGCTCGCACTGCCTTTATGTGAGGCTTCAATGGAGCTTCGGCATTCGCTGCGCCCATGCATGGGATTTCCCTGTCCTCTTGCCGAGCCTGGGCTCAACCCGCTTCGTGCCCCGCCGAACCTGAGTGGGCTGTTGAACCTGGACCTCAGGGTCGGGCTGTGCAGGTTCGCGTGTCGCAGGTTCGGCGGACTGTTGAACCTCCTCTCCCTGGCTGGGCTACCGAGCCTTGACCTCAGCCCCGGGCTGATCAGCCTCGCCCCCATCAGGTTCGGGCTGCTGCTCCCCGAGTCCGCCAGGTTCAGCACAGCAATCCCAGGACTGCCGAGCCTGGAAGCCATCAGGTTCGGGCTGCGGAGTCCCGATCCTCTAGGCACCGGGCTGTGGAGCTTCGGGCTGCCCAGCAGACCCAGGCTTTGAAGAAAGCGGTGAGTTTCAGGTGACAACCCAGGCTCAGGGTGTGCAGGAGAATTCTCAAACACACCCTGAAGTGGGTTTAACACATGAGCATGAAGCGGATTCATCATCCCATTGTGGTCTTGGCACCAGCCTGCGTCCTGATTGGTCCGCGTGGGCGAGTCGGAGTGGAATGCGAAGCAGCTGTATGCTCTTTTCAGCGAACTACCCAGTGGAGACTCCTTTTTCAGCGTGCCATCCAGTGGAGGCCCCCTTTTCAGCGTGCTATCCATTGGAGTCTCTCTTTTCAGCTCGTTTTTCGAGAAGTCTGTCATTTCCTGCACCGCTGCTCCTCCAGTCACGTTCGCTGTAGCCACTTGTATCGTAGCATTATCCACCTCTTCCTCCTCTCCTCCCTCTGTCACTGCCGCTGCAATCCCTCCACCCTCCACCTCCAAATACCCCTCCGTCTCTCCTTTCCTCTCATCTGCTTCCTTCCCCTCTCCTTCCTTCCTTGCTGCTGCATCCCCAACTGACTCAAACACACCAGCATGCTGATCTGCGTGGTACACTCCATCCGCGTTAGTAGCATGTTCAAGCTGTTCCTGCATATCATCTCCCGTTATAAGCACTTCCTGCATGCGCACATCCTCAGTAGAAGCAGCTGCAACTGCTGTGGATAAATCAGTATCCATAGGCTCGCAAACACCATAATATTTTTGCATGGTGGTGTTATTGCTGATTATGGACTTGAAAGGAGACAGCTTGTAATGAGTAAAGGGTGTTTCACGTGGAGGCGTGAAGAAGTAGCTTCCGTCGTCTAGCACAATTTCCTGGAGGTGAAATCCGTCCAGAAGGATTGGCTCGGGCAGCTCAAAATCTTCATCCTGCCCATGATTTGATTCGGAGTGTAACGGTGGCATGCTTTCCCATTGCTGCTGCTGCAGCTGCTGTTGCTGCTGCTGTTCCTGGTAGTGGTGATAATGCTGCTGATGTTGCTGATGCTGTTGATAGTGATGGTGCTGCGAATCCCCGTGCTCATAAGGATGATACATGACTGGATGGCGGTGCTCCTGCTGCTGCTCTGAAAACTGTTGCCGGTGTTGGTGCTGCTGTTGCTGCTCTGAAAACTGTTGTTGGTGCTGTAACGGCTGCTGCTGCTGCAATTGCTGCTGCGGTTGCTGCTGAGACTGAATTTGGGGGTTTGAGCCCTCATGTTCAGCTGTCCCTCCTGCCTCTGTTGCTACGGCCGCTGACGTGTCAATTGCTGATGTGGCAATGGCTGACGTGGATCCAGCTGGGCCTCTAAGAGTGAACGGTGGATGGCTGAGGGGCAGTGGGGGTGAGGGAAGAGCGAGAGGTGGAGGATTCCCCGTTAAAAGCTGCTCTGTTGTTGTGGATAAGCCTCTGCTGGGTGTAGATCCACAGTGCATCATAGGTGTAGTTGCGGGAAATGAAATAACGGGTGTAGATATGGGTACTGAAATTGTAGAAGCGGGGTTAGCGGGTGTAGAGATTGGATATATGGGTGTATTAGATGGATTATGGATGGGGTGGTGGAGTGGGGTGCTTGAGGGGCCGCTGGCTTGGCTATTTGACGGACAGGCAGGTAGAGCCGACTGAAAGCTTGCTTCGTTTGACGGAAAAACCAACTTCCCAGGCGTACTGGGAGGTCTGGACCAAGCCGCCAGGTTCGGGAGGGACAGCGGCTGGAAGGATGGGCGGTTGACGTCAGCAGGTGCTGACAACGGCGCACGGCTGACGTCACCAGCTGAGGGCTTGACGTCAGCACAGGGCGGCGGCAGCACCAATCGCGAGTGGTCTATGTGGAGCAAGCGACTCGGTGGTTCCAAGGAGGAGGAGGAGCGGAGAGGGGGGAGAGAAGAGGAGGGGGGTGTTGGGAATGAGAGGGTTGCAGGGAGGGAAGTGGTGGGATGGAGGGAGGGAGGAGGGAGGGAGGAGGGAGGTGGTGGGAGAGAGAGAGGAGCGTGAGGGAAGGGAGCGGGGAAGGGAGGAGGGAAGGCAGGAGCGGGATTGCCGGGAGTCATCATGGGAGGAAGGGAGAGAGGGATTTGAAGAGGTTGTGGAGGGGGATGAGGGAGTTGAGATGGGTGGGGTGCGTTGGCTGGGTGGGCAGGATGGGCTGGGTGGGTATGGTGGGCCGGGTGGTGTGGGCGGAGGAACGGGGAGGGGTTGGAGAGGAGCAATGCGTGTGTGCTGTCGTAACCCGGTGGTAATTCCTTGTCGGCTTCAGCCCTGCTGGCGGCGGCGTGGCGAATCACCGATAGCATGAGGGACGGGCCTGGTGGCAGAGATGGGTGGGATGGAAGGGACGAGACGAATGGAAAGGACAGATGAAAAATGGGACTTGAGAACGTGGAAGAGCAAGAGGAAACTCGGGCAAGCTTTTCGTTAGCAAGAGAAAACGATGAGAATAGTGCCTAACGAGACACCAAATCAACGTACCTCCTTCCCCCATAGTGCCCTCACGAATAGCCAATTCAGCACCACGAAAACCGCCCTCCATCCCCCCTCCTCCTCCTTCCCACGGGTTCTGCTCGTTACACTTATCGGGTGACTCCCAAGCGAGTACGGGAGAATCACCCATATGAAGCACGATTGCTCCCGCTTCCTGATTCTCATCCCCTTCACCATCCACTCCATCCCCCCTTCCGCTTCCGCCACCTCCTCCCGCACCTCCCCCCATCTGTGCAATCATCCCCCCCGCGCCCGCCCCTGCGTCTCCCCCCGCCGCGGGCGCCGCTGCGCCTGCCGCCCCCCGCGCGCCCATGAGCGGGCGGTTCATGGGCGGCAGTAACGGGCGGCGCGTCTGGTCCAGGTTGATTAGATTCGCCGCGGCCACCTGCGCCGCGAGACGCGTGGCGGCGTCCGGCTGGAGGTATTCCGGCGGGACTATCCCGCCCGCGCCCACGTTGCACATGCCCTCCATTGTACGCGATAGTGAGTTGCTCATGCTGCGCACCTGGCACAGAACGGGTAACAGTACAGGGGCGGATGAAAAAAATAAAAATAAAAACGTATGAGCACGCCATGAAAACCATCATCACCAATATGTATTCTTCACCCCATCTCGCCTACCTTGCGGAACGGCCATCGCTTGATCCCCAGTCGCCGGCAGCGCCGCTTGAGCGCGCTGGAGCAAACGCCTAGCTCGCGCGCCGCCTCCTCAATCGGGAGATGGAAGAACGGCGACACGTCCTCCAATCGCGCACCGCCGATTTTCACCATGATGGCGCCGCTCTTCGCCGAAATTCGCCGAAAATTGTCTGGAGTTCGCCCCGCGTTCGCCTCTCGCGGCAAATGATGGTTTCGCCTCTTCTTTGCCTCACTCGGCAGATGGTAACTTCTCCACCCTTCGTTTCACTCGGTGTTGCAAATTCTTGGCTTCACTGTACGGGCCGAACACCTGGCGCTCGGCTGCGTTGCTCCACGCGCGATTCGTGGTGCTCGGAGCACAAAAGACCAGGCGAAAATACCGCGAAACGACCAGCGAAGATGTTGCTGCGAAACAATCTGGTCACTTTCACCGCTCAATGTCTCCTCAGGTCAACGAACAATAGACGTACGAAGACTATCCACAGGGAAGGGAACCTTGCAAAAGCAAGTAATTACCCATTCCCGCTATTGAGGCGCCAATCGGGAAGGAAGGCACTACTCTCCGGTTTCTCCCGTTTCGTTCCCTGACTCGTTCTCTCCTATTTCAGAAGATATTGGAAGCATGCAATTTTCAACGACTTGATACTTCCAGAGGTAGCTTCGAAACCGGAGTACCACTAGCTCTAGCAGTGCTAGTCCTAGTAGCAGCTACCCTCGGGATTCAAACGAGGCCAGAGTTGAGGCGTCTCTAAACGGAGTCCTTCACGTACGGGTAGACTAAATACTGGCTGCTCGTGCGGTCTAGTGATAGGCCTTGGAAGTACTGACAATTCGCAGGATCGAATCTTGGCTTCGCAGGATTCGTGTTCAGTTGACCCGAGGCGGCCCATCTAGGCGGTGGTAGCGACGACTTACTGTGGTGTGGTATCGGCCAAACGACGGGCAAAGGGTGCTGCCGTAACGGTGTCTCTACCCCTCCCCCACCACCCTACCTACGTTACGCTTCCTCAGTAAAACTAATCGTCTCTCTGAGCATATACCCAGCCAGCTGCTTGTCGAGTGAAGGAGTACCAGTTATTTGTCAGGTATACTGTGTGGCTGCAAAAGCAGGAGCAGGGGCAAGGGCTGTCACGATAAGCTGCCTGCGACTCCTGAGGACACAGGGCAGATGATAGTCGTGTGAAAGCGAAAGCCAGAGAGATACATTCAGCGAAATCGTGAGAAGAAGCATGTGCGAGTTTGCGAATTCACGATGCAGATTTACGTTGCGAACTTCGAACGAGGGTGCGGTGAGAGGGGCTTGTGCACAAAATGTCGAGTCGGGGGAATTCAGGGGCTGCAAATTTGCAAATTCGCCTGGCAGATGTGCGCTTCGGGAACCAGGAATTGATTGGTTTGCAAACTCATGCGCAGCTCGTATAGTCGCCTTCGGCATTTGACGGTGTTACGACGGCTTGCGACATGTGGTGGGAAGTGAACGGTTGGTTGTGGAATTGGTGATTGGTCAAATCAGAGTAAGAGCCCCTTGGGTTGCAGACGAAGCAAGCCTGCCGATAGACAGAGCTCGTTTAGAATGTCGCTGACGTCGTAGAGCGCTCGGCTGAGGTTCAGCTGAGTCCGAACAACCGTGTGCGACTGTCGGCGGACTCAGAACAGAACCTCCGTTAATAGTATAGTACAAAGATCGGAGGAAATGCGTAAAATCACAGTAGGCACAGACATATATTCATTGGTTCTATTCAGTAGTGAAGTAATAATGGCCCTCAATTTGCTACAGTATTCACTTGCAAGCATTTGACTCGTCTGAGATGCGGCAATCACATTGTTGACCTTATGAGAGGGCATCTATGATTGCAGAACATTTTGCGACTTCTACACATCTTGAAGAATCGCCATCTAGTTAGCCAACCTTACAACTAGCTAGCCACCCTCTTCCATGGCTAGCACCACTTGTACAAGCCATGCTATCGACCAAGAGTCACCGTCATCAAACACCTCTACCTCCTCGTTTACTGGGTACTTTCTAATCCCCCCCCTATCATTGGCCGAAGCAGGGAACTCCCCTGCTCCACCGATGACATTTCCCCGAGGCTCACATAAGGGCTCCTCAAGCCCCCATGCTTTCCGGTTGTAGAACTGGTCGAAAACGTAACCTAAAATGTGGGGAACGAGAAACGATTGGTGAATTCTCAGGAGGAGCCGGGGGAGGACTAGGGACCGGCGAACGAAGCGGGCTAGCACACCAAGCAGGTTCGATACAAGCGAGGGATGTTGTCTGGTATATGAACCACGAGCAGTTTTCTTGTAACGAGGATCAGGAGCTGTCTGCGAGAATTCCGGGCAATGGTATGACACGGCCTGCGAAGTTTGTTGGTGTTGGTCTGAGAGACGCGAGTGGAATGGAGGAGGATGAATGAGACTGGAACTTGAAGGGCTTTGTGCTTGAAACACTTCCTGAGGAGCCTCAAAAGAAGCTTGTTGAAGCTGGTCTGACATGCGAGAGTGAAATGGAATGAGGCTGGAGCTTGAAGGGGTGGGTGCTTGAGAGGATGCTGACAGGGGACTGAAAACGGAGGATCCTGAAAAGCAAGTGCGCGTGGTGAATGCTGAAAACGGAAGAGAGGAGGAGGATGCTGAGGAGAAGGGTGATTGAGCCGAGATAGAGGGATCTGTGAGTGAGGAGTGGAAAGTGTGCGATGAGCTGGAAGCAGTTAGAGCAGAGGAACCCAAATGAACGAGGCCCTGAACTGCCGTCTTCTGTGCAAAGGAATCCGCAGCAAGTGTACCAGAAGTTGGTGACACAGCGGCATGAGGCAGCATGGGTGAACATGGGAGACAGAGGGGTGCTGGGTCAGGATAGGCTGTCAGATGGCGAGAAAGCGAGGGAGGAACAGCCGGTGGAGAAAGGAATTGTTGAGGAGGTAAGGAAGGAGGTGCGGAAAACGTTGCGGAATAATATGAGGCAGAGGGTGTGGCGCGTAAGGCACTACATGGAGCCACGTGGGTAATAGCAAGTGCAACATGCTGTGACCTTTCGAACGATCTTCCCCAGGGCTCCTCCTCATGACAAATCCGCCACCCTCCCTCACCCCCTTGCTCCTGCCACGTGGCAAATTCCTCTGCCTTTCTCAGACCCTCCCGCAGCTCGTCCACGTCAGCAGGCCACCGACTGGCGCCATGAAGACAAAAACTGCCATCCGCTCTTTCGCCACTGCAGAGCACTGTTGTTAAGGATCCCGCCGCACCTAGGCCCTGTGCCGAAGCTGCTACTTCACCGTCCGAACCAGCGCCTGATAAAAGCAGCGCCTGCTGGAGGCGTCGGTTCTGAGTAGAACTCAATCCAAAGAATGGTTCGGAACCTGGAGCGAAATCTGGCTTGAAATTTGGTTTGGAAAACATCCCTGGGGACTCCGCTCGGCAGGGGTTGAGGGACCAGCCACCACCTCCTTGACCGCACCCCACATTGTCGTTGCTTCTATTGTCACTTCTGCTATTATCACACACCTCCTCCACACAGACAATTGTGTGTGCTTCGCCCTTCTGAAGTCGTGATGCTCTATCACCCCGGTCCCTGTCTCTGTCCCTCTCCCTGTCTCTCTCTCCGTCTCTACTCCTATCCCCGTCCCTCTCCCTCTCCCTGTCCCTGCAACTGCTGCTCCATTGTGCTGCTTCGTCAAGCTCCCCACCCTTCTGCTTCCAACCCTGAAATCTGTGTGTTTGGGTTTCAGGTTCGCGTAACACAGCCTGGCGCTTGTCCGTTGCGCTAATCTGCACGTCACCCGCTTCCCCCGCTTCACTAGCTTCCCCCACTTCCCCAGCTCCTCTCTCCTGCGCGGCCTGTACCGCCTGCTCCAGCGCGCGCAGGGACTCCTCCGCCGTTCTTGCGCGGGTCTGCGCCAGCTGCAGCGCGCACATGAGCTCCGCCGTGGTTAGCGCGGACGGCGGAGGCGGAACTCCGCTGCCTTCGGCTGGCGCGGACATAATCTCCGCTGTTCCGCCGCGAGTCTGCTCCGGCTGCAGCGGCGCCGTCGTCAGCGCGGACGGCGGAAGCGGAATTCTGGTGCCTTCCTCTGCGCGCTCGGCGGAATGTGGATCAGCAGCAGAGGTAACGGCGGCATAGTTGACGGCAGCAGCAGCAGAGGAGAGGGCGTTAGAGTTGACGGCAGCAGAATTAACGGCGGCAGACTTGACGGCGACAGGGCTAATGGCATGAGCGCTGGTTGTAGAAATTGATCTTATGGATTCGCCCGCAATATCGATGACTACTTGCTCCTCTCCCGGCGGACACACAACGCCGTCAACGCCGTCAACGCCGGTAACACCGGGTGGCGGTGACAACACGTCAGCCGAGGTCCACGGTGACCGCGGCGGTGATAGCGGCGATGATAGTGGCGGTGATAGCAGCGCGGCTCGCGGCGGGGACTCGTTCGACGCCATATCGGCGGACTGCTTCGCCAGACTAAGATCGACACTGTGTCGAGGGAATGCGATAAAATCCGGCGAAAAAGTGGTAACCACGGACGGCTGATTAAAGTGGGAAGGTGACCCAACCAGCAGGTATCCTCCCTCTATCTCTGCTGCTCCCGTCCCTTCTACCTCCAATTCTTCTGCCTCAGCCTCCTCTTCCCTCCCTATCACTTCCATTCGTTCCTTCCCTTCCTGCCCTTCCTTCGCTTCCTTCACTTCCCTCTCTTCTATCCCCTCCGTCTCTTGAATCCAGTCTCGCTGCACACAGTCAGGTTCCTTCGAATCTGTCTCGATTAAGTGCACCCTAAACAAAAACTGCAGGAGAAGGCGGCGCACGCGAAACACCTCCCCAATTATCTGGAAAAGGGGAAATGGAAAGCTCTCGCTTTTGCGAGAGTGGCTTGATCACGCAACGTGTAAAAACAGGCGAATTGTTATTCGAGCAGCCACACCAACCAGCAACAGCAGCAGCGCCTGCTTCTCTAATGAGCTGGCCTATGCTGATCGCGGCACTCTCCCTCCTCTACTCAGTCTCCTCTTCCTGCTGTGAATCAACTATCGCCTCCACTCTCTCTCTCACCCTAGTAGACTTGCTTGATTTCATTCCCGCTTGCTGCTGGTCCTGGTGCTTCGACGGCTGCGGCTGCAGCTCTGTGTTCTGCTCTGCAGCGAGAATATGAGGCTGCCTGCTGTTCCACGGGAAAACCGACCTGGATTTGCGGATTCGCTAACGAGATTATCCAATAGGGAGGATGAGTTGTTTGATTTCCAAGAAGCAGAAGTGAGCTGTCGCTGACGGAGACGAGTGGTTGGGTGATCTGGTGGTGATGCAGGGCGCTGCGGTCGTGGACTAAACGTATTGGGGGAGGTTTTCAAATGAGCACTAGTGGTGCTTTGCCATGTGGAGATGAGATCCAATGGGACCACATGACGCTCTCCAACCTCAGCACACGCAAGCAGCCTCGTCAAAGCTTCCACCAAGAATTTGTAACGAGATAAGAACACCACCAATAAAATTACAGTATCTGCACTACTCTTTGCAATTAGACGAATATCTCTACAACTCGTGGTCAAACATTAGATTTTGTGACAGCCGTGACAGAAGCACGCTCGTTATACGTTCAGCTCATTCTGGTTGTGTGGTCCCAGAACTGAAGTTTTCCAACTCTTTTGGATGACGTGGCTTCCCTCCACGTCATGCCTGATTCTGTGTACCCAGCCCAGTCTGACGCCTGGCCGGCTTGTTATGCCGTCAGCAATCGGCCCACAGTTTCCACCCCTATCCCTGCATCACTGCCAGCGCATTTTCTTCGAACTCCCATTTCAATGCAGGTTGGTCGAAGGAGTCGAGTGAAGAGGTGGGTTTGACCTGAAACGGAACCACAACGCACTCACACCAATCGACCAGGTGTCGAAGCTGTGCTACGTAGGCAAGTTTCTGACTTATGTAAACAACTCTCTCGAGGATAACTTGTTCCAGCCTGTGTTGACAAAAACCAATAAGTTCTACTAAGCACCATGGTTTATGTCCAGCTTCGGGATCCAACCCAACTTTCCTCCCAGCTACCGCTTCCCCGTGCATTCATCTATCAAAGGCTGGATGAAAAAGGGGTTAAGTGTGTGAAGTGTGCGGCTGCGTTCTGCAGGCATTTGCCGGGGAGGGGAGGAGGGGGGCGGAAGGTACATGACGAGGGTTCTTGGGTAGGTTCTTATTTAGACATCACCCCCTCCTGCTACAACCGAAAGTGGAAAACTTTGGTTGCGAGGGTGGAAAGTTCTGACGGTAAATGAAGAAAACACCGCACAATTTCGCTAGCACAATTCATGGGTAGATATGCAGGGAGAATGCAAAACGAGGGTTAAAGCTTTCAAAAGGGTGTTCACATGGAAGAAAATCAAACCCCTGCACACACACCTGCCAGACACAAACCTCCGATGGTGATTGAGTTGTTTTTTTTTTTTTTCCGGTTTGTGGTGCTGCGTCTCTGTTTGGGTTAATCGAGGTTGGAGGTGTTTGTTTCTAGGGTAGGGGTTTGGTGTTCCCTCTCCCAGCACCTCCCTTCCCTCACCGTCGCACCTCCCCGAAAAGGTGGTTTACGGAGGGCGGGGCCACGGCGGGAAAAGTTGCCTGTGTAGGAAGGTGGGGAGGGGAAATGAGCGGCTTCCTAAGCCCTCATAACCGTGAAGGTAAATGGCCGTTCTGTTGCCATTTCCCTTCTTTCACGTTCGGAGGGTAAGGGCGCATTCCTGGCTCGTGTCAGACTTCCGGTCAAACTTCGTGTTTTCCGAGACCAGGGGCAAATTTTAGCCGGAAGACCCGAAGTGTGCTCGGGTGACCCAAAGTGGGGCCAACTGTGGGGCAGCTTCGTGTCATCCCCGGAAGACCGGAAGTTTGACACGAGCCAGGTATGGACCCTAAATGGGAGGCACGGAGCCATTTTCCGGGCTGACCGCCTTTTTGAACCAAAAAACGCAGTATGGGGAAGGTTCCTCACACCACCTCAACCCCCTCTGTCGTGCCTACAGAACGCAGCCTGTGTGAAGTGAATCCATGTCAAACCCTTGCTTAGGAATCAGGACATCATCAATGCGTGGCTCCTGCTGTGCCGCATTCGAGCACCTACACTCGTTGATTTCTTGCTCGAACTCGTGTTGTCTGTCATCCGTTATCTCAAAGCAAGCTGATCCGTTTGGAGAGGCCGTCGTTTGGCAGGCTTTCGTGCACGTTGCCAACAATCTCCACAGGTTACCTTCGAATGTTCTGACTCTGTGCGACAGCAAGCAGTGATCTATCCGCTGTTCGTCGCGCCTTTAACGTTGTTTCCACTTATCTTCCGGCATTTCTATCCTGCCATACCTTCATTGGAAACCCTAACGACCACGCCAGCCCGCTTTCGAAACGGATAATTAACAATACCACCAGACCTTTCCGCGGACATGTCGGGGACCCGGCCGATCTATTATCGCCGGGTCGCCGTTCTCTTAGGAGCAGCCACCGCAGCAGGCGGTGGGATTTACATAGCATATAAAGTCTCCAATTCCGAGTACTACCGCCGCCAGCGGCAACGAGTGCGAGACGCATGGATCCTCTTCTCGCGGTTATACAACGCCGTTTTCGCCGCTTCTGAGCTGTCCACCACTGTACTGACGGACGTTCGAGCGTTTATCGAGTCAGATTCAGACGAGGTTCCGCGAAGCGTACGGCAGATCCTGAAGCTGTCCAGCTCCGAGGAGTTTCAACGGGCCGTCGTACGTACGACGTACTCTGTAACAGAAGGTGTTCTCCACGGCGTGTGTCTGTCGTCAGCCTGGAACGGTCCAGATGAAACGGCAAGCGCATGCCCAGCTCAAGGCACCAATGGCGTCGATTCATCTTCCGGAATCAGCGGGATGCCGGTCAGACGAATGGGATTGGTGGAGTCAGTTTTGGATAAGCTGTTTACAGACGAGGGTCGAACCTTCGCATCTGCAGTGGTAGGAAAAGCGATGCGGAGTTTAGTGGTCTCGTTGGTAGACAAGCTAAGTAGCCCGCCGGGAGGAGTCTCCGCATCTGGCGGCGCAACTGGCGCCTCTTCCGCGGCTGGATCGAGGCAGGCGCTGACAGGATGGGAGTTGATACTGGTTGAGCTGGCTACTAACGAGAAGGGGAAGGCCCTGTTGACGGATATCGTCGCGACATTCGCCGTGAACGCTGTGGGGACGTTTATCGAGAAGACGAGAAACGTCAACGTCTACCATGACATCCTTGCAGCCGTGAGTCGGCATCAAGAGCTTGTGAAGGATGTCGGAGCACACATTCTAACGAGGACAGCAGAGACGACTGTTGCAACTGCAATGGCGCCCATTCCGACTGAACGATCAGCAAGGCAGGGGAGTTCGGCTGGCGCGGGGATGGGGGCAGGGTTTGAAGAGGTGATACAAACGGGGGGTGTTTCCGTCGCTCTATCGACATCGTCTGACGGCTCGTCGTCAGAAGCTCCGTCTCCGTCAGAATCGCTGTCTCCGCGTAGCAGGAGCTCGCTTGACGGCCAATTACAAGACGCCATGTGGCAGGGGGTTCCAGATGCAACCATCTCCGCGCCACAGACAGCAGCAGCTGCAGCAGCCGCAGCAACTTCCGCATCTCTTCGTGGCAAGTTAACAACCTTCTTCCGTCGCCTGCCTCCTCCACCTCCTCCTGCGCTTCAAACGGCGTCCACGTCAGCAAGCGCTGCATTCTCAGGGAGCCAAGCGTTATCTTCCACGTGGCAGCGCCAGTTGACCGGCTTCTTGGCAGATAAGGAGGTCCGAGGGCTGGTCATTGAGGTAGCGGGAGCCGTGTCAGCGAGAGGTATGCGAGCCTTTCTTCTAGTCCTCTTCCATAATCTCCTCTCCAGTCAGCCCTGTAGAACAGCTAGAGGAAAAGGAGAAGCTGGGTCCTCCATGTTGCAGCACCAGGGGGTTAGGAGCCGAATTCAGGTTGTTTCAGGAGGGGATGACAGGGAGCAGGCTGGTGATGTTACTGCTGATGATGACCTGGCATTGGAGGCGTCTGAGCTGGAAAGAGTGGTTGAGGTATGTGGACGTCAAGCTAGGGCCAGTGCGGCACGGGCACTGACAGTAGCATCTTGCTGCCTTGCCCTGGTGATGCATTGTATGATGGGCCTTTCAAGCATGTCTACTTCAGATAGGCATTTCGCCCAAATGTCACCTTTTTCCCCGATTCTATAATGTAACTGAGCAGAGTTTGATGTACTGGCTGTGGTATGGTGTTCTTTCCTTAGTTCTTGTGTACCCTACACATGCTCATTAACGCCAGGACAAGTACCGTAAGTGTATATATGGATAAATACAAAGTCATCAACAGTCCTATTATTGCAACCAAGTTACTTCAGTTGGCATACCATTTCAAGTTCCTGGTAAAAAAAACATAGTTATTTTCCTAGTGGGTAAGGGTTTTCGTGCATTCTTGGATTCGTTTTCGAAAATCTACGTATAACGAGTTCGAGTTTGTGAAGGTCCGCATTACGCGCAGGATGATGTTGTCCCTCCCGTTGTGCTCAAATTCCAGGCCTTGGTTTCCGAGCCTACGTGTGCGCCCCTTACACGTGGCGGCTAAAGATTTTGAATGGCTTGTGAAGATAGCATTGCGTGTCGCACTTCGCTGATTGGTCTGGCTGACGGTAAGAATGACCAGGGCTAGTGTCAGCAATACCGACACCCATTTCCATGAATTCACAGCTGCTGCCCGAGTGTGCGGTCTACCTTATTTACAATTTTCACGTCACTGTAAATGTCAATTCATCAAAATGGTCGCCCAGATATACTTGGAAGCATCGAGTGTGGTGCCCGCAAGCTTCCCCGAAGCAAACTTCAGATGCCCAAAGTTTTGGCGCGGGTGAACGACGACACGGATACATCTGGCCATGGTATGTACCCAGACCACATGCGAGGCTCGGTTTGCATTTTGCATGAGCTCCTGCAGAGCCGCCTGCCCATGCCTGAAGCATTCCCTGCGATGCCGCCAGCCAGCTGGGCTCCTGCGCCAACTGCGTCAGCTGCGCCAAATTTCACGTCAGTTTGGAGTATGGGAGGCGGGCTGAAGTGGGAGCATTTCTGTTTGCGCAACCCCGATATGCCACATTTTTCGTAGACAGTAGTAAGGAAGTGCATCAGTACTTTGTACCAGACTCGCGTGTAATATTGGCCGGTGATATTCTGGAATCGCTAAACACGGAAGGGGTTTGTAAATGTTTGGGTTCCCAGCGTTGTCAGAGTCTGGCCTGGTTACCAACACGGAGTCTGGTGGCTTGTAAACAATTGGTGCCAAGGGTGTCGCGTAACGAATCTAGGATTTCAATGCCCTCAAGCAGATTTGTTCAGCAGAAACCTCGGAAGCACAACCCCAAACACAAACGCGTCCGCCATACCTTCCGCATATTCCGCAAACCTCAAGGTCCAGCTGGCAGCCAGACAGTTTCCCACAAGCCAGTTTTACCCCCCTGCCCAAGAGCCTGGCTCACACCCAGGCCTTGATTTCATCCCGCAAGCAGACCAGATTTACATTTGGGGGAGGGCAATACGCAAACTCTTCGCTTGGTTTGCACGCCTCGCCAGGGTTTGCGCTCATTGGGGGATGTACTCCACTGGCGCGCGGCGGAAGAAAGGGAGATTCTTCCCCTGGACCCCTTTTTTGCCCTCTAGCTGGCGCTTTCGGACGTCTGTCTCTGCCGTCTGTTTTTGGTCGGGGATTGGGGGAAAGCTCGGCTGAGCTAGCCTTTGCTCGGCTGAGCTGGCGGAGGAGGGACAGGCAACGCAAGCGCAACAATCGATGGATGGGTTTGGTGTTGGCTTTCCCCTCTGCTGCTGCTTCTTCTTACTCTTCAGTCTAAGAATACTATTTAGTGCGGAATGTCCTAGTCACATGTCTTCTGCCAAGCAAGCGTCCTAGTGCGCCATATTTTCTTCGTTCTTTCAAAATAGCTCACCGAGAAGTTATTGTTTAGAAGTTGTGTTTAGGGATTTCTTTCCTGCAATGAATCCATGTTTGACGGTAAATTAGCTCCCGCGTACTATCAACAGGTTAGGGCTTTCACCGTATTGTTGTCTCTTCTAGTCCACTTTTTACGAGCCGAAATCTTCGTGGGATTTTTCGCTTTCCTCCGCCGAACTGAGCGGATGGCCGTTAACTCCTGGCAATGGGTTCTTGCGGCTTTTGAGATGTACGACAGCGTCGAGCTTGAAGATGAAGGTCTGTTTTCAAGCAGAGGCGAAAGCGCGGATTGGGGTTTGTCAACTTCTCCGAGCCGGTCGATTTCAAGAAACCGCAAGACTGTTTCACCATCGAAATCTATGGCGTCGTCGGACGATTGCAAGACTCTGGAGGTTCTGTTTTCTACAAGCGAATCTTGCAATGGCAAATGCGAGAAAAAAGATTCGTTGGCGGAGCTGGCAGCTACGGAGGAGGTCATAATGAACTTCTTGGAAAGGTCAACGCTCGCGCAAGAACCCAACCAGATTGACCACCCAGTCGCTGTGTTTCCGCAATGCGTGTGGCCGCTGATTGCTTACCAACAAGCCATGGTTGCAGGTTTCTGGTTGCGGATCTTCAGATTTCTCATTCCTGCAAGAAAGAAGCTTTCGGAGGACCGGATTCGTCCTGCAGACGCGGAACAACCATCCTGCGACCAACAGGACTTCCCAATAATAAGCGCTTCGGATGCGACTTCAACTGACGTAAATGCGAACTGCATCGTCTGGAGCGCTCCGCGTGGCGGCGAAACGCCAGTCGCAGCATCAGCATCGGCAGAAGCAGATTCGGACGATGCGTCGTCAGACCATCTCTTCACTGTTCCGCAGCTGGCGCCGCTCAGTCCGTCCGACGAGCCGTTCGATTCATCCAAGCTTCTTCCTTCGCTTCGCTCCGTCCACTTTAACCGCAAGACTCTCGTTCTCGATCTGGATGAAACCCTCATTCATTCCGTCTTCACGCCCATCATGAACGCGGATTTCGTCATCAGCCTGGACGTTGACGGCCGCCTGACTACTATTTACGTCCATAAGCGTCCCGGCGTGGAGGAGTTTCTCCGCGCCGTCGCGCAGGTTTACGAGGTCGTCGTTTTCACCGCGAGCATGGCGGGTTACGCGAACGCGCTCGTCGATCTCCTAGATCCGCAGCGCTGCCTCGTTCACCACCGTCTTTTCCGGGATTCCTGCATCTGGTGGAGGAATAGCTACGTCAAGGATCTGACGATGCTCGGAAGGGACCTGACGAAGACCATGATTGTTGATAACAGCCCGCTCTCCTACGCGTTTCAGCCGGAGAACGGCATTGCGATACCCTCGTACTACGATGAGCAGGGGGACCGTGAGCTCGCGAAGCTTGTCCCCGCTTTAATGAAGCTCGCTACGGTCGAGGATGACGTCCGGCTCCACCTTGCGGGGCTTGGGAGCGTCCATGTGGGGTGACGATAAAATCAGCGGACGCTGATACTTGTATTGTGAAAGACACGCCATGGCATGGCACCGCAGCTCACAGCTGCTGTAACTAATAAGGAGCGCCAGCATGCGTGCTGCTATGCTCTCACCTAAGCGCTCTGCTTCCTTGTTACACGCTAGTAACTTCTCTTTCTGTGCCTTTTTCTCACTAGTTCAGCCCCTCTCGTCCATCTCTTGTTTCGCATTTACTTCAACCTCTACTTTGCAGGAACTGGGAGTTGTTCTAAACGATAGAGCTCTGTCTTAGCTTTCCAACGAGCCGTCAAACACGTCGATCGCCTAAGTATTCTCCGAGATATAGGCGTTCACGTGCTAGGTGGTGCTCTTGAATGCAAGAAGCTCTCTTGGAATTTTTGTTCGAATGTACCTTGTACAAAGAACTCTGAGTTTCACTATGAAACATGCATACAAGGCAAGTCGATTTATAGCAAATGCATTACATCGAACCGCACATGTAACATCGCATCGCTACACTCGCGTCGCGAATGCACCGCGTGTAACATTTCGGTTGGGGTGAAATTCGGCCACCGAATTTCACACCGAACACACCGAATTCGCCTTGCACTTGAAGGTTGGAATGTGGTGCCGCCACGTGGCACCGAAGGGTGAGTCTCCCGAAGTCAATCGGTGCAACCCCACCGATCCCTAGTCAAAGGGATCGAAGGCACCAAAGTGCCCTCGGTGGGTTGGGGGCATACAACCGCCCCACCACCGAACTCCCTCCAACAGAAATCACCACGCATTAGGCTAATATAAACGAAATCGCCACGCATTAGGCTACTAAAAACTAAATCACCACGCATTAGGCTAATATAAACGAAATCGCCACGAAATCACCACGAAATCGCCACGAAATCACCACGAAATCGCCAGCGCATTCGGCGCTGCTCGCGGAAGCACCAGCGCCTTAGGCGCTCCCCGCGGATGCTCCCGCGCGTTAAGCGCTCCCCGCGGATGCGCCAGCGAGTTGGGCGCTCCCACCGCGAGCACCAGCGCGACGCCTCCTCCAACACGAGAGGTAAGCACTAGATGCTACTGAAATCACTAGCATTTCGCTGAATGGTTTCAACTGGCAGTAGAGAGAAAGTGCACGAGTGAGGACTTGGCGGAGGAGTTGGATTAGGTGATGCTTTGATGAGCGGGAGGGAAAGGAAGCAGCGAGAGGAAAAACTAAATTGCTAATGGCGGCGGGAGGAGATTAGGAGAAAGAGAATGAGAGAGTGACGCGAGGGGGAGGAGATTGAATTGGGAAGGTGACGTGACGGGGAGGAGATTGGGTTGGTTGGAAAGGTGGCAAGTTGGAATGCAAAGAGGGTAGTGCGCGTCCGATTTGGGTGCTGCCTTCCTGGAATTGGACCAGTGACACGTTGGATTGCATCACAAGCGTCCAACTCTTTTGTCCCTTGCTGCGTAACGACGCAAACTATTGGTTCACAAAATGCGCCTCGCATTTCGGATGAGCACACAGTGAGCGGAAAATCTGGACAACCTAGCATGTCACTACAATTGAGTGTTTGGCGCTTCGGAAATGAGTCAAAACCATTATCGAATGTGAGGCGCCTTGGGGAATTGACTTCCGCGCTGTGTCTGTAAATGGCAGCGCAACACCCATCCATTGGGACGAGACAATACTGATGGCTGCCATTATTTACAGGTTGACACTCTCTAGTTGGCACGCTTCGTCGCCTTGACCAGCAGTTTGAAGCATTGTTATAAAAGGCATCCCTTCATCTACTGTATATGGCTCAAAACTTGTAATTTACTGCTGAAAGTAAGGGCTAGTCCTCATTGCATTTAGTATTACTTATTGTTCAAACCTCACAAGCCAGGTGCTTCAGGATTTTCTGTAAGAACTAACAAGGACATGTTACCAACAGGTGAAACCAATTCCATTGGAGAAGCACGTACACCTTTGCAGTTTCTCTAGTTGTTTGTTTCAGCCATGAGCTTTCTTAGATGTTGGGGGTCCTGCATGAGCTGCTGCCAACTTTGTGAACACTCGGCTACCTTGTCTTGTATCAGACGATGGAACAAGTGACGGATGACCAGGTCCCCCAGCTCAATCTGGACGACATTCGGAGCATGCTAATGAGTCTGTAGTTAAATATCGTGTTAAGAATAATGAATATATACGCTATCAAATGCCGTTTGTGCTCCTTTGACACTTACCTCTGTGCCGGCAGCGCCACGCCTCGCCATGTCACTAAGGTCTGCGTCACGCATCGCCACGTCACTACGGGGTGCGCCACGCGTCGCCATGTCACTACAGAGTGCGTCACGCATCGACACGTCACTATGGGGTGCGTCACGCATCGCCACGTCACTACGGGGTGCGTCACGCATCGCCACGTCACTACGGGGTGCGTCACGCTTTGCCACGTCACCACGGGCAGCGCCATGCATTGCCACGTCACAACGGGCGGCGCCACGCATCGCACCCACTATGGGGAGGCGTCACGCATCGCTACGTCACTACGGGGTGCGTCCCGCATCGCCACGTCACTATGGGGTGCGTCACGCATCGCCACGTCACTAAGGGGTGCGTCACGCGTTGCCACGTCACTATGGGGTGCGTCACGCGTTGCCACGTCACCACGGGCAGCGTCACGCATCGCCACGTCACTACGGGCAGTGCCACGCATCGCCACGTCACTACGGGGTGCGTCACGCATCGCCACGTCACTACGGGGTCCGTCACGCGTTGCCACGTCACTATGGGGTGCGTCACGCGTTGCCACGTAACCACGGGCAGCGTCACGCATCGTCACGTCACTATGGGCAGTGCCACGCATCGACACGTCACTATGGGGTGCGCCACGCATCGCCACGTCACTACGGGGTGCGTCACGCATCACCACGTCACTACAGGGTGCGTCACGCGTTGCCACGTCACCACGGGCAGCGCCATGCATTGCCACGTCACTACGGGCGGCGCCACGCATCGCCACATCATTATGGGGTGCATCACGAATCGCCACGTCACTATGGGGTGCGTCACGCGTCGCCACGTCACTACGAGGGGGCCACGCATCGCCACGTCACTACGGGGTGCGTCACGCGTCGCCACGTCACTACGGGCAGTGCCACGCATCGCCACGTCACGACGGGCAGTGCCATGCATCGCCACGTCACTACGGGGTGCGTCACGCATCGCCACGTCCCTTGGGGGTGCGTCACGCATCGCCACGTCACTACGGGGTGCGTCACGCATCGCCACGTCACTACGGGGTGCGTCACGCGTTGCCACGTCACCACGGGCAGCGCCACGCATTGCCACATCACTACGGGCGGTGCCACGCATCGCCACGTCACTATGGGGTGCGCAACGCGTCGCCATGTCACTACAGGGTGCGTCACGCATCAACACGTCACTATGGGGTGCGTCACGCATCGCCAAGTCACTACGGGGTGCGTCACGCATCGCCACGTCACTACGGGGTGCGTCACGCGTTGCACGTCACCACGGGCAGCGCCACGCATCGCCACATCACTACGGGCGGCGCCACGCATCGCCACGTCACTATGGGGTGCGCAACGCGTCGTTAGTCACTACAGGGTGCGTCACGCATCGACACGTCCTATGGGGTGCGTCACGCGTTGCCACGTCACCACGGGCAGCGCCATGCATCGCCACGTCACTACGGGCGGCGCCACGCATCGCCACGTCACAAGGGTGCGTCACGCATCGCTATGTCACTACGGGGTGCGTCACGCATCGCCACGTCACTATGGGGTGCGTCACGCATCGCCACGTCACTATGGGGTGCGTCACGCGTTGCCACGTCACTATGGGGTGCGTCACGCGTTGCCACGTCACCACAGGCAGCATCACACATCGCCACGTCACTACGGGCAGTGCCACGCATCGCCACGTCACTACGGGTTGCGTTACACATCGCCACGTCACTACGGGGTGCGTCACGCATCGCCACGTCACTACGGGGTGCGTCACGCATCGCCACGTCACTATGGGGTGCGTCACGCGTCGCCACGTCACTACGGGGTGCGCCACGCGTCGCCACGTCACTACGGGGTGCGTCATGCGTCGCCACGTCAGTACGGGCAGTGCCACGCATCGCCACGTCACTACGGGGTGCGTCATGCATCGCCACGTCACTACGGGGTGCGTCACACATCGCCACATCACTATGGGGTGCGTCACGCGTCGCCACGTCACCACGGGCAGCGCCACGCGTTGCCACATCACCACGGGCAGCGCCACGCATCGACACGTCACTACGGGCGGTGCCACGCATCGCCACGTCACTATGGGGTGCGCAACGCGTCGCCATGTCACTACAGGGTGCGTCACGCATCGGCACGTCACTAGGGGGTGCGTCACGCATCGACACGTCACTACGGGGTGCGTCACGCGTTGCCACGTCATTACGGGGTGCGTCACGCGTTGCCACGTCACTACGGGAGGCGCCACGCATCGCCACGTCACTATGGGGTGTGTCACGCATCGCTACGTCACTACGGGGTGCGCCCCACATCGCCACGTCACTATGGGGTGCGTCACGCATCGCCACGTCACTAAGGGGTGCCCCACGCGTTGCCACGTCACTATGGGGTGCGTCACGCGTTCCCACGTCACCACGGGCAGCGATACGCATCGCCACGTCACTACGGGCAGTGCCACGTATCGCCACGTCACTACGGGGTGCGTCACGCATCGCCACATCACTACAGGGTGCGTCACGAATCAACACGTCACTATGGGGTGCGTCACGCGTTGCCACGTCACCACGGGCAGCGCCATGCATCGCCACGTCACTACGGGCGGCGCCACGCATCGCCACGTCACAATGGGGTGCGTCACGCATCGCTATGTCACTACGGGGTGCGTCACGCATCGCCACGTCACTATGGGGTGCGTCACGCATCGCCACGTCACTATGGGGTGCGTCACGCGTTGCCACGTCACTATGGGGTGCGTCACGCGTTGCCACGTCACCACAGGCAGCATCACACATCGCCACGTCACTACGGGCAGTGCCACGCATCGCCACGTCACTACGGGTTGCGTTACACATCGCCACGTCACTACGGGGTGCGTCACGCATCGCCACGTCACTACGGGGTGCGTCACGCATCGCCACGTCACTATGGGGTGCGTCACGTATCGCCACGTCACTATGGGGTGCGTCACGCATCGCCACGTCACTACGGGGTGCGTCACGCATCGCCACGTCACTACGGGGTGCGTCACCCGTTGCCACGTCACCACGGGCAGCGCCATGCATTGCCACGTCACTACGGGCGGCGCCACGCATCGCCACGTCATTATGGGGTGCGTCACGAATCGCCACGTCACTATGGGGTGCGTCACGCGTCGCCACGTCACTAGGGGGTGCGCCACGCGTCGCCACGTCACTACGGGGTGCGTCATGCGTCGCCACGTCACTACGGGCAGTGCCACGCATCGCCACGTCACGACGGGCAGCGCCATGCATCGCCACGTCACTACGGGGTGCGTCACGCATCGCCACGTCACTTGGGGGTGCGTCACGCATCGCCACGTCACTACGGGGTGCGTCACGCATCGCCACGTCACTACGGGGTGCGTCACGCGTTGCCACAACACCACGGGCAGCGCCATGCATTGCCACGTCACTACGGGCGGCGCCACGCATTGCCACGTCATTATGGGATGCGTCACGAATCGCCACGTCACTATGGGGTGCGTCACGCATCGCCACGTCACTACGGAGTGCGCCACGCATCGCCACGTCACTACGGGGTGCGTCACGCGTCGCCACGTCACTACAGGCAGTGCCAAGCATCGCCACGTCACGACGGGCAGCGCCATGCATCGCCACGTCACTACGGGGTGCGTCACGCATCGCCACGTCACTTGGGGGTGCCTCACGCATCGCCACATCACTACGGGGTGCGTCACGCATCGCCACGTCACTACGGGGTGCGTCACGCGTTGCCACGTCACCACGGGCAGCGCCATGAATCGCCACGTCACTACGGGCGGTGCCACGCATCGCCACGTCACTATGGGGTGCGCAACGCGTCGCCATGTCACTACAGGGTGCGTCACGCATCGGCACGTCACTAGGGGGTGCGTCACGCATCGCCACGTCACTACGCGGTGCGTCACGCGTTGCCACGTCACTACGGGGTGCGTCACGCGTTGCCACGTCACTACGGGAGGCGCCACGCATCGCCACGTCACTATGGGGTGCATCACGCATCGCTACGTCACTACGGGGTGCGCCCCACATCGCCACGTCACTATGGGGTGCGTCACGCATCGCCATGTCACTAAGGGGTGCCCCACGCGTTGCCACGTCACTATGGGGTGCGTCACGCGTTCCCACGTCACCACGGGCAGCGATACGCATCGCCACGTCACTACGGGCAGTGCCACGCATCGCCACGTCACTACGGGGTGCGTCACGCATCGCCACATCACTACAGGGTGCGTCACGAATCAACACGTCACTATGGGGTGCGTCATGCGTTGCCACGTCACCACGGGCAGCGCCATGCATCGCCACGTCACTACGGGCGGCGTCCCGCATCGCCACGTCACTATGGGGTGCGTCCCGCATCGCCACGTCACTATGGGGTGCGTCACGCATCGCCACGTCACTATGGGGTGCGTCCCGCATCGCCACGTCACTATGGGGTGCGTCACGCATCGCCACATCACTATGGGGTGCGTCACGCATCGCCACGTCACTATGGGGTGCGTCACGCATCGCCACGTCACTACGGGGTGCGTCACGCATCGCCACGTCACTACGGGGTGCGTCACGCGTTGCCACGTCACCACGGGCAGCGCCATGCATTGCCACGTCACTACGGGCGGCGCCACGCATCGCCACGTCATTATGGGGTGCGTCACGAATCGCCACGTCACTATGGGGTGCGTCACGCGTCGCCACGTCACTAGGGGGTGCGCCACGCGTCGCCACGTCACTACGGGGTGGGTCATGCGTCGCCACGTCACTACGGGCAGTGCCACGCATCGCCACGTCACGACGGGCAGCGCCATGCATCGCCACGTCACTACGGGGTGCGTCACGCATCGCCACGTCACTTGGGGGTGCGTCACGCATCGCCACGTCACTACGGGGTGCGTCACGCATCGCCACGTCGCTACGGGGTGCGTCACGCGTTGCGACAACACCACGGGCAGCGCCATGCATTGCCACGTCACTACGGGCGGCGCCACGCATTGCCACGTCATTATGGGATGCGTCACGAATCGCCACGTCACTATGGGGTGCGTCACGCATCGCCACGTCACTACGGATTGCGCCACGCGTCGCCACGTCACTACGGGGTGCGTCACGCGTCGCCACGTCACTACAGGCAGTGCCAAGCATCGCCACGTCACGACGGGCAGCGCCATGCATCGCCACGTCACTACGGGGTGCGTCACGCATCGCCACGTCACTTGGGGGTGCCTCACGCATCGCCACGTCACTACGGGGTGCGTCACGCATCGCCACGTCACTACGGGGTGCGTCACGCGTTGCCACGTCACCACGGGCAGCGCCATGCATCGCCACGTCACTACGGGCGGTGCCACGCATCGCCACGTCACTATGGGGTGCGCAACGGGTCGCCATGTCACTACAGGGTGCGTCACGCATCGGCACGTCACTAGGGGGTGCGTCACGCATCGCCACGTCACTACGGGGTGCGTCACGCATCGCCACGTCACTATGGGGTGCGTCACGCGTTGCCACGTCACTACGGGCGGCTCCACGCATCGCCACGTCACTATGGGGTGCGTCACGCATCGCCACGTCACTAAGGGGTGCCCCACGCGTTGCCACGTCACTATGGGGTGCGTCACGCGTTGCCACGTCACCACGGGCAGCAATACGCATCGCCACGTCACTACGGGCAGTGCCACGCATCGCTACGTCACTACGGGGTGCGTCACGCATCGCCACATCACTACGGGGTGCGTCACGCGTTGCCACGTCACTATGGGGTGCGTCACGCGTTGCCACGTCACCACGGACAGCGTCACGCATCGCCACGTCACTACGGGCAGTGCCACGCATCGCCACGTCACTACGGGGTGCGTCACGCATCGCCACGTCACTACGGGTGGTGTCACGCATCGCCACATCACTACGGGGTGCGTCACGCGTTGCCACGTCACCACGGGCGGCGCCACGCATCGCCACGTCACTATGGGGTGCGTCACGCATCGCCAGCACGAGCTCCACTGAGATTGAATGTGATAGTGCGCAGTGAGACAAGATTATGAAAGGTTTGTGTGATAGGAAGCAGTAGGAACATTTTTTCGTGTCATGTCTTACTGTGCTAGGTGAATGAAATGCACCACCTACTCCTGACGTGACTTAATTGTCATGTCGTGTCCTACAGTAACCTGCTGCTTCAATCAATGACATGCTATCAGGAGGAGTAAACTAAAAAAACAGAATTGTCAACACGGCAGGCCCATAATCACAGCAGCCTACAACAGAGCACTAGCTCCACATAGAGCGTGGCATTCCACAAACACAAAAGGAACAGTTGATAGTCGGTTCTTCAGTTGTCGACCATATTACTGTATTTGCCACAGAAAGTTACTTCTGAAAAGGATTCGGCGCTGCAGCTGACCCAGAAGGCTTTCCAAACGTTGCCATCGTGCCCGTTGGGTTTGCAAAGTTGAAAGGCGGAGGGGAGGGGAAGGGAGAGGGCTGTCCAGCAGCAGCAGCAGCAGCAGCAGCAGCAGCAGCAGCACTTGCAGCAGCAGAGGAGTCGGGACCCTTCTGGGAGAAAGGGCTAGAGGGGTTTGCAGATGCGAAAGAGAATGGTGGTGCTGCTGCTGATCCGAATGCGGGTGCCGATGATCCGAATGCGGGTGCTGATGTCCCAAATGCTGGTGCTGACGATCCGAATGCTGGTGGTGCTGATGATGCAAATATGCTTGACGCCGATGGTTGGCCTGGTGCAAATGCAGCCTGGCTTGCAGGTGCTCCTGTTGCTGCGGTTTTCACCTCAGGAAAGGGCCTGTAACCAGCACCAGAAAAAAAGAAAGGGAAACATTTTGGCCCCATACAAAGTTAAATACAAATTTGAGACGACAGAAGAGGAAGTGAAGGGATGGAAAACAGCTATTGTTGATTTGAATTTACGAAGAAAAACAATTGGTAACCATGGCGTGAAGGGTGACTAACACGCACTGATATATCTGCTCTTGGCAGCAACAGCAGCCATCAATAAGCTTCCGGGATTACACTGCCATGAGCTCACCTGAACACACCAACCGAGTCCTTGAAAACTGCAGCTGGCTCGTTGCTGCTGCCCTATGGATCATCACTATAGCACTCAGGCACAGGGTCTGGTAACCAGGTAACCCTGCATGATGCTCACCTGAACACACCAACCGAGTCCTTGAAAGCTGCAGCAGGCTCGTTGCTGCTGCTAGTGGTGGTGAAATGACCCACGCCCTTGGGTTTGCCAAATGCGTCTCGTAACCAGGTAACACTGACATGCTTACCTGAACACACCAACCGAGTCCTTGAAAGCTGCAGCAGGCTCGTTGCTGCTGCCCTATGGATCATCACTATAGCACTCAGGCACAGGGTCTGGTAACCAGGTAACCCTGCATAATGCTCACCTGAACACACCAACCGAGTCCTTGAAAGCTGCAGCAGGGTCGTTGCTGCTGCCGCTGTTGGTGTTGCTGGTGGTGAAATGACCCACGCCCTTGGCCTTACCAAACGAGGTCACCCCAACTCCCCCGAACAAAGCGCTTCCTCCTGATTGGCTGCCTCCTCCGAACATACTGCTTCCCGAACCAAACAATGGGGCTGCCGAACCAGCAGGACCGGCAGCAGCAGCAGCAGAGGTTGTTGCAGCAGCAGCAGAACCAGCAGCAGCAGCAGCAGCAGCAGCAGCAGCACTCAGGCCCTTATCACCAGCAGCACCACTCAACCCTCCCTCTGTCCCACCCCTGGCCCCTTCCTGTGACTGTGTGGTATCAGGCTCGGATCCGTCCTGAGAAACTCGCATGCCAAACAGGGGGTTCTGATGCAACACCTGCGCATTTCCCACGGGTACTGGCGCTGTTGCCCCTCTTGCTAAGGGCGCTGGGGCGACACCTACGGGCCCTTGCTGCCCGAACTGCCCGGATCCGAAAATTTTGCGCTGGAGAGGGAGATCTGATTGGCCGAAACCAGTGGGAGCAGCGGGGGCAGCGGGGGCAGTTGAAGTGAAAGGAGGAGGGGAGGCGGGAGCTGGGGGGAAGGAGAAGAGCGACAATGCCTGCTGCTGCTGCTGCTGCTGCTGCTGCTGCTGCTGCTGCTGCTGCTGCTGCTGCTGTTGCTGCTGTTGAGATTTGCTAGAAGATTTCGGGAACGAGAGGGGGGAGCCTGAGAGGGAATTCGCTCCCCCCGCACCCCCAAGTATCGGAGAGCCAAAGTGGGGAGAGGGAGCCGCCTTGGGAGAGGAGGGCTTAGCTGTGGGCGACTGAGCTGACTGCATGGGCTTGCGTGGGAAAGCTGTGGTGGAAAGCCCTTTGGAAATACCCTTAGGGAGGCTCTTGGTGTCTGGTTTGACTGGACCTGTTCTGGCTGGGATGGCTGTGGTGGGGAAAGCAGAGGGTTCGCCATGTGCTTGAATGATCTGCTGGCGCTCAGAGGGAGCGATGAGTTGAAGCACTGACTCCTGGGAAAGGTGGGGGAAGACGGGAGACGGAGAGGGGGTGAGTGGGGAAGGTGGTGGTGGGGAAGGCAGAGGGTTCGCCGTGTGCTTGGATGATCTGCTGTCGCTCGAAAGGAGCGATGAGTTGAAGCACGGACTCCTGGGAAAGGGGAAGACGGGAGAAGAGGGTTGGGCTGTGGTGGGGAAGGTGGTGGTGGGGAAGGTGGTGGTGGAAAAGGCAGAGAGTTCGCCGTGTGCTTGGACCATTTGCTGGGTATGTTTTTTGAGAATTCTCAAGAAAACATACTGTGCTGGAACCATTTGCTGGCGTTCCTAAGGAGCAACCAGTTGAAATACGAAATCCTGGGGAGGGGGGAGAAGAGGGGGGTGTGGAGGGAGAAAAGGGGAAAGATGGGTGGGTCGGTTGGTGGGTGGGGGGGGTAGAGCAGGGGAAGTGGGTGTGCAAACGTGAATGAAACCTATATATCCTATCCCTTTGTGTACAGCTATGAATCATTATCAACCCTAGGTTGGTACACAAATATATACACTACATACACAGGCTACATCCCCCTTTCACTACAATCACAGAAATGCATATATATATATGTATATATATACAAATATATTTATATTTTACAGACACGTACCAGCAGCTTTATCCTCTTTTCCCGCAGCTGAACCGTCAATCCCTTCTCTCCTCTCCTCCGTTTCCTCAATCCCTTCCCTGCATCACCACCAGCAGTAGCATCCATGGGACTTCCTCTTTCCTCCTCTCCTCCATCCTCACTCCCTCCCTCCTGCCCCTCGTCCTCCTGCCGCCCCTCCTCATCCTCTTTATTGGCTGCTTCATTCTCCTGATCCGCCTCGACTGCTGCCTCTATAGCCCACACTTGCTTGTGTGCCGATAGTGCTGCCTTGTAACGAGTCCTCTGCAGGAAAAGAAACAAGGAAGGACGGCGGGAAAGGGGAAAGGACGAGTGTAGATTGGAATGGGTGAAACAAACGAGATTAAGGATGTATTGAAAATGTAATACACCCACCAACTCTACAGCCGACACTTGCTTGTGCGCTGATAGTGCTACCTTGTAACGAGCCCTTTGCAAGGGAAGAAAAAGAGAAAGAAAATGGGAAAGGGAAAAGGAGGAGTGTAGATGGATGGAAGCACAGAGAGAGACACACACACCCCCCGATCTAACCAACAGGCAGCGCTGCAGCACTGCCTCCTTTCACCATGACCCCACATGACCCCACACTAACCCAGATCACCTGCTACACACACAAGCTTACCTCCACATGGAAGATAACAAGTAAAGTGCCGCACGCCCCCTCGGGTTGCTGTGCCGTGCGAGTCAGCAGGCAGCGCTGCAGCACCGCTGCCTCCCTGTGACCCCACACGAACCCCCCCTACATACACAAGCTTGCTCCTTACCTCCACATGAAATAGCACGAGCAGAGTGCCGCACGCCCCCTCGGGTTGCTGTGCTGTGCGAGTCAGCAGGCAGCGCTGCAGCACTGCTCCCTCCCTGCCCCTCCAGGGGAACGCCAGCACTTCGGGCACTGCCTGGTGCCTCACTGCCAGCCAGAAGAGCTCCGATACAAGCACATCCACTGCTTCTGTATAAGCACTTTTCGCTGCTTCGTTATAAACACTCCCAACAGCAGCAGCAACAGCGGCATCGGAACCATCAGCAGCATCAGCAGAGTCAGGAGCATCAGCAAGTGGGTGAGGGGAGGAGGGGTCGTTGATACTTAGTTGCTTGCAGTAGGCTCGAAGGTACAGAAAAACCTCTGTTAAGAGCCGATTCTCTATAAGCACGCGCAGCGCAGTCACTGCTTCCTCTAGAGGCACCGCCAGGTCCGGGAAAACGGAGGTTGCCGAGCCTGGGGTGCTGCTGGCTTGGAATATTGCCGGGCCTGGGCTGCAGGCTCGTAGGATCTGGAGCGCAGGCTCGGACTTGCCTCGTTCGATGAGGACTCGAGCGATCCGGGGATGGATGGGAGGGGCCGAGGAGGATGGGGAGAAGGAGGAGGAGGGAGAGGAGAGGGAGATGAGGCGCGGTATCAGAGAGCAAGCATCCTGCAAACAGAGAGAATTTGAGAGGAGAAAGGGGGGAGAAGAAGATGCAGCACAATGAGAAGATTATAGCAAGCAGCATACCGTCAGCATCATCTCGCCACATGCTTGTTTTGAGATGTCCCAAAACAAAGTTGCAGCGCGATGAGAAGCTTTTAGCAAGCAGCATACCGTCAGCATCGTCTCCGCCACATGCCCAGCACCCATGTTCAAGCACCCATGCAAGCAGCAGATGCAGCAGCAGATGCAGCAGCAGATGCAGCACCATCAAACACGTACCTTCAATCCTTCCTCTGTCTGTTCATCACCATCACCATCGTCTCCACCACGTGCCCATAGCCCAAATCCAAGCACACACGTCAAACAAGCATGAATCCAAGCACCCACATGCATCAAAACACTCACCTCCAGCCCATCTGTCGTCTGTTCATCCAGCATCACCATCGTCTCTATCCCGTGCCCATCACCCACGTCCATCCACACAAGCAAGCACAAGTGCACCTACCTGCAGCACCATGCAGCACCAACAAACACATACCTCCAGCCCATCTGTCGTCTGTTCATCCACCACCATCATCACCGTCGCCTCCACCACGTGCTCACCACCCACGTGCAAGCAAGCAGGCAAGCACAGCTGCACCCACACGTAGCACCGTAAAACACACACCTTCAATCCCTCTTCAGTGCATTCATCGAGCATCACCATCACCATCGTCTCCACGACGTGCCCATCACCCACGTCCATGCACGCCCCAAAGTCCTCCACCATCCCCCGCCACCGCTGCTGCCCCTCGCTCTGCCCTCCCTGATAGAAGCGGTCAATGAGGTAATACAGGAACTGGGGAAACATAAAATGGCATGGGAAAGGGGGAAGAGAGGGAGGAGAGAGGGGTCAGTGGGTCCATGCACGCTCCCAAGTCCTCCACCAGCCCCCGCCACCGCTGCTGGCCCTCGCTCTGCCCTCCCTGGTAGAAGCGATCAATGAGGTAGTAGAGCAACTGGGGAAATAACAGGAAGGGAGTGACGAGGAGCGAGGAGAAGGGTAAAAAGAGGAGGTTACTCAATCCTCCGCCAGTCGCCACCGCTGCTGGCCCTCGCTCTGCCCTCCCTGGTAGAAGCGGTCGATGAGGTAATAGAGGAACTGGGGAAGGCGGGTTGCACAGGAAAGAGGGACATAGGGAACAGACAGTGGGAGCAGAAGAGGTTACTTGACGTCTCCACCTCCACCAGCCCGCGCCACCACCGCTGCTGGCTATCGCTCTGCCCTCCCTGGTAGAAGCGATTGATGAGGTAATAGAGCAGCTGGGGCAGGAGGGGGAAGAAACTGGGGGGAAACGGTAGAAATTATGAAAACTGATCAGGACAATAATTAGTATAATAATCAACAGAAAAAATCAGAACAAAACAAAAATACTCACAATTGCTTTCTTGGCCAGAGCTAGATAAGCCCCCGCCTCCAGAAACAAAAAATCCACAGCTGCCCGGAAATTCTCCGGCGGGTATTGAAACCCCACCGCTGCTGCTCCTCCTCCTCCTGCTCCACCCACTAACCCAGGGCTCCCTCCCTGCAGCAGAAACTTCCCGGAAGCAGCAGGTGGTGCGGTGGGTACCAGCTGCTTGAGAGGCAGCAAATCAAGCTGGTCGCAACTCAACAGCAAAGGGGAATCAGATGCACCACTTGCGCTCTCCTTACTGCCTTCTCGGCTGCTTTCCCTGAGGCTATCTATTGCTTCCTCGATAAAAAGCTTCCCTTTCTGCTGCTGCTGCTGCTGCTGCTGCTGCTGCTCCTTTGCCCCCCCGCCTCCCCCTCCCCCTCCCCCACTTACGCCCCCGCCTCTTTCCCCTGCCCCTGCCCCAAGCACGGAGCCAGCAGCGCCAGCAGCAGCAGATACGCCAAGGAACTCCGGCCAGGCCGTTTCGTTGGCAGCCTGCTTTCTCTGGCGAATCACGGAGCGCCACGTGGCGTGCGACGAGTGGCGGGGAGGGAGGCCCTCAAAGAAACGGTTTTTGGCAGCCCACTGCATCACGTCTAGATGCTGTGTTGTGGAGAAGGGGAGGAGGGGCAGACATGGTGGAAAGGGGGGGGAAGGGGAGGAGGGGCAGACATGGTGGAGAGGGGGAGGCAGGCAGGCAGACAAGCAGACAGGAGAAGTGAAACGGGGCATAGAGGGTGGGAAGGGGAAGAAAGAGTGAGTAGGTAGAGGGAAGTGAGGAGGAGGAGGGAAGTGAGGTGGAAGAGGGAAGTGAGGAGGAAGAGGGAAGTGAGGAGGAGGAGGGAAGTGAGGAGGAGGAGGGAAGTGAGGAAGAGGAGGGAAGTGAGATGGAAGAGGGAAGTGAGGTGGAAGAGGGAAGTGAGGAGGAGGAGGGAAGTGAGGAGGAGGAGGGAAGTGAGAGAGACAGGTGGAGAAAGGCCCTCCGAAGGATTGTTTCTTGGAAGCCCAGCCCACTGCATCATGTCTAGATGCTGTAGAGTGGAGAAAGACTTTTGAGTCGACTCAGAAGTAAGAGAGACAGGTGGAGAAATGCCCTCCGAAGAATTGGTTCTTGGAAGCCCAGCCCACTGCATCATGTCTAGATGCTGTAGAGTGGAGAAAGAGTGAGGTAAAAGAGAGAAGTTCTAGCACCTGTCTCCCACTCATGCCCCTTGCGCCCTTCCTCCCCCCTCCTTCCCATCCCTCCCGTGTCTTCCACCCTTTCCCCCATCTCCCACCCCTCCCGTCTCTCTCACCCCTTCCCCCTCCTCCACCTCAAACGCTCTCACCTGGGATGCTCTTGCAACCGCTTCTGCCAGCCGCCCAGCCTCCCACTCATGCCCCTCCGCTCTCCTTTCTCCCCCCATCTTGCCCTCTCCGCCTCCCTCCCACCCTCCATTATTCTCACCTGCAATGCTCTCACCTGAGAGGCTCTTGCAACCGCTTCTGCCAGCCTCCCTGCCTCCCACTCGTGCCCCTTGCGCCCCTCCGTTCCGCCGCTCCCCCCGCTTCCCCCTCTTCCCCCTTCCCCCAGCTGTATCTGCGCCTGCTGCTGCGCCAGGGGATCGTCTGGGCCCTGCAGTGTTGCCAGCACCTGAGAAATCCCCTGCAGGCGCATGGCCAGGCAGGTGGCGTCATCCATACGACGATCCGTGATACCAGAGGCGTCTGGAAGAGCGGGGGGGAATTGGGGGGTGGGAGAGGGAAGTGAATGGGATGAGAATAGAATACGGAGGAGTAGAGGGAGTGGGCTGTGCGGACAGGCAGGTGCCATCATCCATGCGACGATCCGTGATACCAGAGGCGTTTGGAAGAGCGGGGGGGTTTGGGAGGTGGGAGGTGGGGGGTGCAGTGGGGGGTGTGAGGAGAGGAATTATGGAGAGGTGGATGCCGGGAGGTGGATGCCCGACCGGTAGGGCAGGTGGCACCATCCATGCGACGATCCGTGATACCAGAGGCGTTTGGATTGAGGGGGAGTATGGGGAAGCGGGATGGGGGAGTTGGGGAGGGAGGGAGAGCACGAGCCTGGGGTCCAGCAGCAGGAAGAGCACCGGGTCGCTGGAAATCCACCCATAACCACCCATAACCGCACCGAAACGCACAGAACCGCACAGAATCGCATAGAAGAGCACAGGACTGCAGAAAACCGCACAGAGCCACTCACATCGATCTCTAAGTGTCCGTTATATTCCGGCGAAGGTCCTGTGCGCCAACTCCAGCACGAGCCAGCCAGGGCTACAGCAGCACCGCCAGCACCGCACACACCCGACACAGAACCACAAAGAACCGCACAGGACCGCACAGGACCGCACTCACATAGGTCCCTGAGCGTCCTCTTAATCCCGGCGAAGGTCCTCTGCGCCCATTCGAGCACGAGCCTACGGCCCAGCAGCATAGAGAGCACCCCACACACTGACACAGAACCACACAGAACCGCACAGAACCGCACTCACAGAGGTCCCTGAGCGTCCTCTTGATCCCGGCGAAGATCCTCTGCGCCCATTCAAGCACGAGCCTGGGGCCCAGCAGCAGAGAGAGCACCCCACACACCGACACAGAACCACACAGAACCGCACAGAATCGCACTCACAGAGGTCCCTGAGCGTCCTTTTTATCCCGGTGAAGGTCCTCTGCACCCAGTCGAGCACAAGCCTGGGATCTAACAGGAGAGAGAGCACCGGGTCACTGGAGACTGCTGCTGCACTCAGATGGAACCACACAAAACCGTACAGGACCGCACAGAATCGCACTCACAGAGGTCCCTGAGCGTCCTTTTTATCCCGGTGAAGGTCCTCTGCACCCAGTCGAGCACAAGCCTGGGATCTAACAGGAGAGAGAGCACCGGGTCACTGGAGACTGCTGCTGCACTCAGATGGAACCACACAAAACCGTACAGGACCGCACAGAATCGCACTCACAGAGGTCCCTGAGCGTCCTTTTTATCCCGGTGAAGGTCCTCTGCACCCAGTCGAGCACAAGCCTGGGATCTAACAGGAGAGAGAGCACCGGGTCACTGGAGACTGCTGCTGCACTCAGATGGAACCACACAAAACCGTACAGGACCGCACAGAATCGCACTCACAGAGGTCCCTGAGCGTCCTTTTTATCCCGGTGAAGGTCCTCTGCACCCAGTCGAGCACAAGCCTGGGATCTAACAGGAGAGAGAGCACCGGGTCACTGGAAACCGCTGCTGCTCTCAGATGGAACCACCCAGAACCGCACAGAACCGCAAAGAACCGCAGAAAGTTCAGCGAAAACCACTCAGAGAGGTCCCTGAGCGTCCTTTTTATCCCGGCGAAGGTCCTCTGCGCCCAGTCGAGCACAAGCCTGGGGTCCAGCAGCAGGGAGAGCTCCGCACATACAGAACACCACACAACCGCACAGAACCGTACAGAACCGCACTCACATAGATCCCTGAGCGTCCTTTTTATCCCTATGAAGGTCCTCTGGGCCCAGTCGAGCACAAGCCTGGGATCCAGCAGCAGAGAGAGCACCGGGTCACTGGAAACTGCTGCAGCTCTCAGATAGAACCGCCCAGAACCGCACAGAACCGCAGAGAGTTCAGCGAAAACTACTCACATAGGTCCCTGAGCGTCCTCTTTATCCCGGCGAAGGTCCTCTGGGCCCAGTCGAGCACAAGCCTGGGGTCCAGCAGGAGAGAGAGCACCGGGTCACTGGAGACTGCTGCTTCGTCCATGCACACCTCCTCCACGTCTGCTCATGAAAGGTGGGGGAGAGGGGAGATGGGAACAAGGGGAAAGTGACACAGGATAGTGGGGGAGGGAGCAGCAGAGCCAGCACCGGGTCACTGGAAACTGCTGCCTCGTCCATGCACACCTCCTCCACGTCTATAGGCACGAATGGAAAGGGGCACAAAAGAAACGGAAGTATGGGTTAAGAGGGGAGGAGAGGCAGCAGGAGAGAGAGAACCGGGACGCTGGAGACGGCTGCCTCGTCCATACACACCTCCTCATTCAACAGATGAGCGACACTCACAGTGGCAGATGAGGGTGACGAGCCCGCGATCCAGCGCAATGTCAAAGAGGGCAAACAGCCTCCGCACGTCCATGGGGCACCCCTGAGCGTCCGCGCCCAGCCCCCCAACCCCCCCGCCGCTTCCCCCCGCTCCCCCTGCTGCTCCGCCCCCCCACCCAGCAGCATCCTTAACCACGTCTTTGAGAGGGCTGACAAGGCCTGCGTCTACACACGCGTCGTATAAACGGATGTGAATCCGCTCCCCTGATTGCCGCGCGAACCCCCCTCCCCCTGCTTCTCCCCCTCCAGCAGCAGGGGCCCCGATGGGGCAGCGGCAGACGGGGCAGGCGGAGCAGCGCTGGGCGCACTCCCCGCAGAGGCAGGCGTGGCGGCAGGGCAGCAGGCAGTGGTGCACGGTGCGCCCACACGGCCTTAACTCGCGCATGGCTCGGCACCTCTCGGCTCTGGCTTTTAGAGGGAGGGCCCTGGCAGGGGTCATAGCCAGGCGCAGGAGCACCTCCTGTTTTAGGGTTTCAGGTTTGGGGTTCAGGGTTTCGGGGGCGGGGGGGGACGAGGGGAGGAGGGGAGGAGGGGAGGGAGGGGAGGGGGGAAAGGAGGGGAGGAGGAACAGTAGAGAAGGGGGTGAAGGCGTGGCGGCAGGGCAGCAGGCAGTGGTGCACGGTGCCCCCACACGGCCTCAGCTCGCGCATGGCTCGGCACCTCTCCGCCCTCGCCTCCAGAGGAAGGGCCCTGGCAGGGGTCACAGCCAGGCGCAGCAGCACCTCCTGTTTGGGGAGCGGGGGGAAGATGGGGGGGGGAGGAATGGGGGGGATAGCATGGCGCGGCACCGCTCTACCCTCGCCTCTAAGGGGAGCGCCCTGCCAGGGGTCACAGCCAGGCGCAGCAGCACCTCCTGGGGGAGGGGAAGCGGAAGATGGGGGTGGGGAGGAATGGGGGGGATAGCATGGCGCGGCACCGCTCTACCCTCGCCTCTAAGGGGAGCGCCCTGCCAGGGGTCACAGCCAGGCGCAGCAGCACCTCCTGGGGGAGGGGAAGCGGAAGATGGGGGTGGGGAGGAATGGGGGGGATAGCATGGCGCGGCACCGCTCTACCCTCGCCTCTAAGGGGAGCGCCCTGCCAGGGGTCACAGCCAGGCGCAGCAGCACCTCCTGGGGGAGGGGAAGCGGAAGATGGGGGTGGGGAGGAATGGGGGGGATCGCATGGCACGGCACCGCTCCGCCCTTGACTCTAAAGGAGGGCTCTTGCTGGGGTCAGCGCCAGGCGCAGCAGCACCTCCTGTTTGAGGGGAGGAGGAGGGGGAATGGGGTCCAGGAGGGAAGGAATGGGTGGGATCACATGGCGCGGCACCGCTCCGCCCTCGACTCCAGCCAGAGGCAGCGCCCTAGCGGGAGTCCCCCCCAGCCGCACCAGCACCTCCTGTTTCGGGGGGGAGGAGGGGGGGGGGGGGATGGGGAGGGAGGCCTATGGGGGGAAGCGCCGCGTGGCAGGGCCCTCGCGGGGGAAATCGTCAGGCGCAGGCACCCCCTGCTTGAGGAGGTAAAGAAGGTGTGGAGAGATGGAGGGGAATGGTAGCATTCCCCAGGCCAGACGTGCTGAACTGAACGAATGCTAGTGATTTCAGAGATTTATCAGGCTGGTAACATTCTCCGCCCGATTAGCTCGGAGAGTTTCTCAGCAGGATAATAAAATCACGTGTATGAAGAAGTGTTTGAGACGTCTCAAAACACTTCTTCATACACGTAGCTCGGAGAGTTTCTCAGCAGGATAATAGCATTTCTCAGGCTGGTGGCATTCCGAGAATGGAGTACTACCAAGGTGCAAGTTTTAGGGTACATTCCGGGCTCTGGTCAGACGGTCAACAACGCCTGTACAGCTTACAATTAGAACAAATGGTGAGAATTAGCTACGATTTAGGGTCACAAGCACGACTGGCCAGAAGTTTGACCAGAGCCCGGAATGCACCCTTAGACCCCTCGGATGTCATTGATCGCATACAGTCGGAATTACATCGCGTTGCGATTCGATACAGTGTAACTGCCCTTCGATTCCCTCTTAACAACTGCCTCGCTATTCGACACAGTGTACCTGCCGTACCTTCCATACCTGCTGACGGCGGCGGCATTGACGTGGACACAAGATCTCCCTAGGGTAATTCTCAACAGTGTACCTGCCGTACCTGCTGACGGGAGTGATTTTAAATTTGGTGCACCCTGTCGTTCCTAGAATAACGCGATAAAACATACTCGCTACGGTAACTCGTTACAAGGTACTGTCCGTACTGAGGGAAACTCTAAACAGTGCTCCTGCCGTACCTGCTGACGGCGGTCCATGATATCTGATCAGGACCGGATAATCGAGAATCCAACGGGTGGACGTTAGATCGAGGATCAGCAGCCCGTACGATCCGACGATCAGCGGCCCGTCGACTATTCAATATCAACCGAATTTCCGCTCCGAGGCCAGTATGATGGTTGCGGCCAACACTCAACTCAATACAGCCGCTGAATCTGAAGCTGGCGCTGCTGTCTAAGTTTACTGCACGAAACCTGTGTTGGGATCCAAACAACACAGCTCCCAGGAGTGGGTGTTGGAATCCCCCCACTCAAAATAAACAACTTTTAGTTTCTTTTGTGGAGGCACAATCGGTTTTGTGTGTTTTGGTTGGGTGCAATATCGTTTTTCGTGGTACAGTCTGGTAGCAGCTCGAACAGCGCATACTAAGCCCGCTACTGAGGTTTGAAGCTGGTTACGATATGCTGTTGATTCGCTGACACCTTCGCGAATCACAAATCTATGTCGCGGTGGGAAGTCTCAGGGACGCGACACTCGTCACAAGTTCACTCGTTAACAAGTACTGCTCATTCTTTTCAGAGTACATAACATATTTGCAGTGTAACACCGCCGAATCAGCGACAGTCGTAATCGGTTGATGCTCTTTCGCCAGATTCGCTGACAACTTCGCGAAACTGTTTATATTCGCAACCGAACTGAATCAGAGCAGCAGGCAGCCGAGTACAGATCATTCCGAGATTCGGCTCTGTACGGAGCCTCCTAACGGCTCTAATTCCCGATCCAGACTAGAACTAGAACTAAAATAGTCGATTACTGATCGGAGCCGACTCGCGGTTCTAATCGCAGCCATGACGGTCATTACCAGTGCGAGCGGCCTGCTGGCCATGCTCGACGAGGAGGAGCCGGCTCTCCGCGTGTACGCTCTCAAGAATCTGAATCTGCTCGTCGGCCAGTTCTGGGCCGAGATCTCCGCGAACATCTCCACCATGTAAGGACGTGTAGTTAATCTCCTCAGTCCCGTAAGTGCGTGAAATCCGCGGTCTTACTAATCTGCTTCTGCATCCCGACTCTAGTTTAGAGTTCGAGCTTCAGCCTGCGATTTTACCTTAGGTCATCTCAGGAAAGTTAGAAATTCCAGATCTGTGCTACAAATTCCCGATTTAGGTACCAGCTGCTACCAGAGACGATTGGCTTCGTAGCCTGACACATCTGATTGGCTTGAAAGCCTGACATACCGGTAGTTATAGCGGGGAATCGTGCAGTCATGTCATTAACCTTTTCTAAGCGTCTCGACACTTTAACAGCTAGCTTTTGCACTCCTCCCGACGGCGACGGCGGATGTACGAGAATTGGATCCTCCCGACGGCGACGGCGGATGTACGAGAATTGGTTGAGTGGATTGAATTCGTCGACCGTCAGTCACATAGGAGATGCGAAATGGCCAGTCGTTCCGATTGAGATAGCGGGTGGCTTGATCTCAAGCTCTAACTGTGTCGTGTCGCTTTTGCTCATACCCTTTTCCTTCGTTCGTAGTAGGCTGACCCGTATAAAGGTTTCGTTTTCAGAATTCAGGGTGAATCGAGCAGGATTCAAGTAGTTTCTAGCCTGCTAGCTCGTTAAACTCAACTTTCCTTGCGATCGTGAGGCGCAAGGTCGGACAACCTCTCCCTCGCTGGTGTGGTCAATATGGATCGGGAGTAGTAGAGCTTACTGCGCGACTTTCGGCTCATTATTCCATCATTTGTTGGATTCCATCACGCAGAGCCTCATAGGTTGTTACGTGACATTCGGTCGATTTTAATGTCATTCTGGGCAGTCAGTCGGTTCGATAGTACGGTGCAGGGCAGGTTGACTGATGTCATCCTGGGTAGACGGAATCTGTCAGGATTCGCTAAATCAAAGATGTCAGACGGAAATTGTAGGTAGCTTAGGAATGTCTAGCGGGATTGACTTCGTAGATTGACTAGAAGAGTTTTTAAAGTTACAGATCGTGGGTATGGCTACTCACGCATCTTATTCCACGTCTAAGCTTCACGTCCTGCCTTTCAGCAGTGTAGCTAATGCGTTACTTGCTCTCATCCATTGTATCAAGGGCCTCCCATTCTTCATTCGGTTTACATTTGAAAGTCGTCTAAGACTGCCTGTTACGTCATCGTCCCATTTCCTTCTCTCTGTTTGAATCCCTTCAGAGAGAGCTTGTACGAGGATGAGACGTTCGACCATCGCGAGCTGGCAGCGCTTCTGGCCTCCAAGGTATTTATCGTCCGGTATTCCTAGGGTGTTTTTTTCAGGTCTTTTCCAGGTGTTCGTGAGGTGTTTTTCAGGTGTTCCTCAGGCTCATGAGGTGTTCGTCAGGTGTTTTTCAGGTGTTCCTCAGGCTCATGAGGGAATCGTCAGGTGTTTTTCAGGTGTTCCTCAGGCCCATCAGGTGTTCGTCAGAGAGGTGCTTCTTCTGTGGGCCTGTGTGGTTAAGGCTGTTTGGATAAACTTCGACCTTCGGTCCCTGTGTGCACCCGTGCAGGTGTTCTACTATCTGGGCGAGCTCACCGACTCTGAAGTGAAGTGCTCCCTCGGTGTGCTCAACGCTGTGTGAACTAACCAACTTCAACTCTGCTGTTTCCTGTCCGTCCGTGCGTGCATGCACCCGTGCAGGTGTCAGGTGTTCTACTATCTGGGCGACCTCACTGACTCTGAAGTGAAGTGCTCCCTTGGTGTGCACAACGCTGTGTGAACTAACCAACTTCAACTCTGCTGTTTCCTGTCCGTCCGTGCATGCACCCGTGCAGGTGTTCTACTATCTGGGCGAGCTCACCGACTCGCTCACGTACGCCCTTGGCGCGGGGTCGCTGTTTGACGTCTCGGAGGACTCAGAATACGTGCAGACGCTCATTGGTGCGTGCATGGGTGTGCTTTGTTTGTTATGCGGATGATGATGCATGGGTGCATGGGTGCATGGATGCAAGGAGGCATGGTTGAGTGAAGGGACTCACCGATTCGCTCATGTACGCCCTTGGCGCGGGGTCGCTGTTTGACGTCTCGGAGGACTCGGAATACGTGCAGACGCTCATTGGTGCGTGCATGGGTGTGCTGTGTTTGTTATGCGGATGATGATGCATGGGTGCATGGGTGCATGGATGCAAGGAGGCATGGTTGAGTGAAGGGACTCACTGACTCGCTCACGTACGCCCTTGGCGCGGGGCCGCTCTTTGACGTCTCGGCGGACTCCGAATACGCACAGACTCTCATTGGTGCGTGCATGGGTGCATGGGTGCAAGGGCAGTGAGTGAATGCACTCGCCCACGTGCGGGGTCGCTGTTTGACGTCTCGGAGGACTCGGAATACGTGCAGACGCTCATTGGTGCGTGTGTGGGTGGGCTGGTAGTTAGGGGTGCGGGCGGGTGCATCGGTGATTGAGCGTGGGTGCTTGAGCGTACATGCAAGGGTCGCTCTTTGACGTCTCGGAGGACTCGGAATACGTGCAGACGCTCATTGGTGCGTGCATGCTTGCATGACTCCTACGACCCTGATGCTGACTATCCTGTCTCAGTGCCCCCTGTGTTGTTCCCGTGTGTTTTCCTTGTGCCTCCCCTGGGCCCATGCACCACTCCCCGCATCCAAGTGCATTGACGAGTACATGGATTTGAGTGTCAAGCGTGCGGATTCCCATGACCCCAACGCTGACTATCCCCTTGACCCAATGCCCCATGTGTTTTCCTTGGGTCTCCCCTTGCCCCATGCCCCATGCCCCATGCCCCATTCCCCCTGCAGCCAAGTGCATAGACGAGTACATGGATCTGAGTGTCAAGCGTGCCGACTCGCATGACCCCGATGTTGACTATCCTCTTGACCCGCGCCTCGTGGCCATCGTGGAGAGGATGCTGGACAAGTGAGTGCTGCTGCTCTTCTTGCTGCGTTTGCTGCTCTCTCCCTGCATGCATGTGCGAGAGGATAGCCAACCTGGTGTGTTGACTCCCATGACCCCGACCCCGACTATCCTTTTCACCCGCGCCTTGTGGCCATCGTAGAGCGGATGCTGGACAAGTGAGTGCTTGTGTTGCTGGAATGATTCACGTGCATGTGCAAGAGGAGGGCCAACCTTGTGTGTTGACTCCCATGACCCCCCGACGCCGACTATCCTCTTGACCCGCGCCTCGTGGCCATCGTTGAGAGGATGCTGGACAAGTGAGTGTTGCTGCTTTTGCTGCTCTCTATCTGCATGCATGTGCGAGAGGATAACCAACCTGGTGTGCTGACTCCCATGACCCTGACGCCGACTATCCTCTTGACCCGCGCCTTGTGGCCATCGTAGAGCGGATGCTGGACAAGTGAGTGGTGCTCTCGCTGCTCTTGGTGGGATGATTTGCATTCATGTGCAAGGGGATGGCTAACCTAGCGTGCCGACTCTCATGACCCCGACGCCATGTGGAGAGGATGCTGGACAAGTGACTGGTGCTGTCGCTGCTCTTGCTGCTTATTGCTCTGCCTTGAGGAGCGTTCCCCTCCAGCTGCATAGAGGAGCGTCAGTTCCAGCAGGCCATTGGGGTGGCGCTGGAGTGCCGCGCTCACCAGTAGCCCCCCCGCTCCCCCTTCCTACACCTCCCCTCTCCCCCTCCCCCATCCCCATCCTCCACAGCTGCATAGAGGAGCGTCAGTTTCAGCAGGCCATAGGAGCCGCACTCACCAGTAGCTCCTTCTCTCCCCACTCTCCGCTCCCCGCCTCCTCACTCTCCCCCCTCTCTTCTTTTCCTCCACAGCTGCATTGAGGAGCGTCAGTTCCAGCAGGCCATTGGAGTGCTGCCGCCTCGACAAGCTCGAGGCTACACTGCTGTCGCCAGAAGCCAGCTGTAGCCCTCTCACCTCTCCCCCTCCCTCGCCCCGCCCCCATTCCTTTCCAGCTGCATCGAGGAGCATCAGTTCCAGCAGGCCATCGGAGTGGCGCTGGAGTGCCGCCGCCTTGACAAGCTGATGGGTGCACGTGCACTGTCGTATCCCCCTCCCCGCCTGCTCCCCTTCTTTCCTTTCCAGCTGCATTGAGGAGCGTCAGTTCCAGCAGGCCATTGGAGTGGCGCTGGAGTGCCGCCGCCTTGACAAGCTGATGGGTGCACGTGCACTGTCGTATCCCCCTCCCCGCCTGCTCCCCTTCTTTCCTTTCCAGCTGCATCGAGGAGCGTCAGTTCCAGCAGGCCATCGGAGTGGCGCTGGAGTGCCGCCGCCTTGACAAGCTGGAGGCTGCCGTTGCCAGGAGTGGCAACTCGCGCTCCCTGCTCGCCTACTGCCTGCAGGTGGGTTGACCTCCGTTGACTACTGTTGACTTCCCTGTTAGCTGGAGTGCCGCCGCCTCGACAAGCTGGAGGCTGCCGTTGCCAGGAGCGGCAACTCGCGCTCCCTGCTCGCCTACTGCCTGCAGGTGGGTTGACCTCCGTTGACTACTGTTGACTTCCCTGTTAGCTGGAGTGCCGCCGCCTCGACAAGCTGGAGGCTGCCGTCGCCAGGAGTGGCAACTCGCGCTCCCTGCTCGCCTACTGCCTGCAGGTAGGTTGACTTGCGTTGACTTCCCTGCTCGCTGGAGTGCCGCCGCCTGGACAAGCTGGAGGCTGCTGTCGCCAGGAGTGGCTACTCGCGCTCCCTGCTCGCCTACTGCCTGCAGGTAGGTTCAAACCCACTCTACTGCACGCCTTGACATCCGCACTGCTGCTCAACGAATTCACAGTCTCTTGGTCTGAAGCTCGTTGATTCTTTGCCAAGAATTTGAACTTTTTATCGCTTCCATCCCAACACTCGCACACGCACAGACCCACTTGCAGTTTCTCATTCACACGCTTGTCTTTTTGACAAGTTTTTCATTGCACTGCCTAAATCGTTTTCTCCCCTTGTGATGCTGTGCTCCTGCCTGCCTTGCTGTTTCTCTCTCCCGTGCAGGTCTCGCACTCCCTTGTCAACCGCCGACAGTTCCGTCAGCAGGTACTGCACCCGTCTCTATCCTCCTCCTTCTCTCACCCGCCCTCTATTCACCCTGCCTCCCATACGCCGCCCGTGGTGCACTTTATTTGTTGCTCTCCCTTGTCAACCGCCGACAATTCCGGCAGCAGGTACTGCACCCGTCCCTCTCCTTCTTTTGCTCTCCCTCACCCTCTCTCCACCCTGCCACCCGTACACACTCTCTGTTGCCATTTTGTTTTACCGGGAGGGTGAGCACCTAAGGATTCTGTTGCACCAGAAGGTTGAGTTCTCATACCACCACAGACCAGAGCAAAGTCCAGTTTTGAGGCGCCTCAAAACTAGACTCATACCACCACCACAGGCCAGAGCAAAGTTGTGTTCTGGGACCTCTCAAACCTCTGAAACATTATATCTGTGTTCAGACTACGGCACAGCATTAACCAGATGCTCATTTTCCTCAGCAGCTCGTTTTTCCTTCCACCTTGCCCTTCCACCTTGCCCTTCCACCTTGCCCTTCCACCTTGCCCTTCCACCTTGCCCTTCCACCTTGCCCTTCCACCTTGCCCTTCCACCTTGCCCTTCCACCTTGCCCTTCCACCTTGCCCTTCCACCTTGCCCTTCCACCTTGCCCTTCCACCTTGCCCTTCCACCTTGACCTTGCCCTTCCACCTTGCCCTTCCACCTTGCCCTTCCACCTTGCCCTTCCACCTTGCCCTTCCACCTTGCCCTTCCACCTTGCCCTTCCACCTTGCCCTTCACCTTGCCCTTCCACCTTGCCCTTCCACCTTGCCCTTCCACCTTGCCCTTCCACCTTGCCCTTCCACCTTGCCCTTCCACCTTGCCCTTCCACCTTGCCCTTCCACCTTGCCCTTCCACCTTGCCCTTCCACCTTGCCCTTCCACCTTGCCCTTCCACCTTGCCCTTCCACCTTGCCCTTCCACCTTGCCCTTCCACCTTGCCCTTCCACCTTGCCCTTCCACCTTGCCCCTTCCACCTTGCCCTTCCACCTTGCCCTTCCACCTTGCCTTCCACCTTGCCCTTCACCTTGCCCTTCCACCTTGCCCTTCCACCTTGCCCTTCCACCTTGCCCTTCCACCTTGCCCTTCCACCTTGCCCTTCCACCTTGCCCTTCCACCTTGCCCTTCCACCTTGCCCTTCCACCTTGCCCTTCCACCTTGCCCTTCCACCTTGCCCTTCCACCTTGCCCTTCCACCTTGCCCTTCCACCTTGCCCTTCCACCTTGCCCTTCCACCTTGCCCTTCCACCTTGCCCTTCCACCTTGCCCTTCCACCTTGCCCTTCCACCTTGCCCTTCCACCTTGCCCTTCCACCTTGCCCTTCCACCTTGCCCTTCCACCTTGCCCTTCCACCTTGCCCTTCCACCTTGCCCTTCCACCTTGCCCTTCCACCTTGCCCTTCCACCTTGCCCTTCCACCTTGCCCTTCCACCTTGCCCTTCCACCTTGCCCTTCCACCTTGCCCTTCCACCTTGCCCTTCCACCTTGCCCTTCCACCTTGCCCTTCCACCTTGCCCTTCCACCTTGCCCTTCCACCTTGCCCTTCCACCTTGCCCTTCCACCTTGCCCTTCCACCTTGCCCTTCCACCTTGCCCTTCCACCTTGCCCTTCCACCTTGCCCTTCCACCTTGCCCTTCCACCTTGCCCTTCCACCTTGCCCTTCCACCTTGCCCTTCCACCTTGCCCTTCCACCTTGCCCTTCCACCTTGCCCTTCCACCTTGCCCTTCCACCTTGCCCTTCCACCTTGCCCTTCCACCTTGCCCTTCCACCTTGCCCTTCCACCTTGCCCTTCCACCTTGCCCTTCCACCTTGCCCTTCCACCTTGCCCTTCCACCTTGCCCTTCCACCTTGCCCTTCCACCTTGCCCTTCCACCTTGCCCTTCCACCTTGCCCTTCCACCTTGCCCTTCCACCTTGCCCTTCCACCTTGCCCTTCCACCTTGCCCTTCCACCCTTGCCCTTCCACCTTGCCCTTCCACCTTGCCCTTCCACCTTGCCCTTCCACCTTGCCCTTCCACCTTGCCCTTCCACCTTGCCCTTCCACCTTGCCCTTCCACCTTGCCCTTCCACCTTGCCCTTCCACCTTGCCCTTCCACCTTGCCCTTCCACCTTGCCCTTCCACCTTGCCCTTCCACCTTGCCCTTCCACCTTGCCCTTCCACCTTGCCCTTCCACCTTGCCCTTCCACCTTGCCCTTCCACCTTGCCCTTCCACCTTGCCCTTCCACCTTGCCCTTCCACCTTGCCCTTCCACCTTGCCCTTCCACCTTGCCCTTCCACCTTGCCCTTCCACCTTGCCCCTTCCACCTTGCCCTTCCACCTTGCCCTTCCACCTTGCCCTTCCACCTTGCCCTTCCACCTTGCCCTTCCACCTTGCCCTTCCACCTTGCCCTTCCACCTTGCCCTTCCACCTTGCCCTTCCACCTTGCCCTTCCACCTTGCCCTTCCACCTTGCCCTTCCACCTTGCCCTTCCACCTTGCCCTTCCACCTTGCCCTTCCACCTTGCCCTTCCACCTTGCCCTTCCACCTTGCCCTTCCACCTTGCCCTTCCACCTTGCCCTTCCACCTTGCCCTTCCACCTTGCCCTCCACCTTGCCCTTCCCCTTGCCCTTCCACCTTGCCCTTCCACCTTGCCCTTCCACCTTGCCCTTCCACCTTGCCCTTCCACCTTGCCCTTCCACCTTGCCCTTCCACCTTGCCCTTCCACCTTGCCCTTCCACCTTGCCCTTCCACCTTGCCCTTCCACCTTGCCCTTCCACCTTGCCCTTCCACCTTGCCCTTCCACCTTGCCCTTCCACCTTGCCCTTCCACCTTGCCCTTGTCCTTGCCCTTCCACCTTGCCCTTCCACCTTGCCCTTCCACCTTGCCCTTCCACCTTGCCCTTCCACCTTGCCCTTCCACCTTGCCCTTCCACCTTGCCCTTCCCCTTGCCCTTGTCCTTGCCCTTGTCCTTGCCCTTCCCCGTTCCCTCTCCTTCCCTCTCCTTCCCTCTCCTTCCCTCTCCTTCCCTCTCCTTCCCTCTCCTTCCCTCTCCTTCCCTCTCCTTCCCTCTTCTTCCCTCTCCTTCCCTCTCCTTCCCTCTCCTTCCCTCTCCTTCCCTCGCCTTCCCTCTCCTTCCCTCGCCTTCCTCTCCTTCCTCTCCTTCCCTCTCCTTCCCTCTCCTTCCCTCTCCTTCCCTCTCCGCCCTCTCCTTCCCTCTCCTTCCCTCTCCTTCCCTCTCCTTCCCTCTCCTTCCCTCTCCTTCCCTCTCCTTCCCTCTCCTTCCCTCTCCTTCCCTCTCCTTCCCTCTCCTTCCCTCTCCTTCCCTCTCCTTCCCTCTCCTTCCCTCTCCTTCCCTCTCCTTCCCTCTCCTTCCCTCTCCTTCCCTCTCCTTCCCTCTCCTTCCCTCTCCTTCCCTCTCCTTCCCTCTCCTTCCCTCTCCTTCCCTCTCCTTCCCTCTCCTTCCCTCTCCTTCCCTCTCCTTCCCTCTCCTTCCCTCTCCTTCCCTCTCCTTCCCTCTCCTTCCCTCTCCTTCCCTCTCCTTCCCTCTCCTTCCCTCTCCTTCCCTCTCCTTCCCTCTCCTTCCCTCTCCTTCCCTCTCCTTCCCTCTCCTTCCCTCTCCTTCCCTCTCCGTCCCTCTCCTTCCCTCTCCTTCCCTCTCCTTCCCTCTCCTTCCCTCTCCTTCCCTCTCCTTCCCTCTCCTTCCCTCTCCTTCCCTCTCCTTCCCTCTCCTTCCCTCTCCTTCCCTCTCCTTCCCTCTCCTTCCCTCTCCTTCCCTCTCCTTCCCTCTCCTTCCCTCTCCTTCCCTCTCCTTCCCTCTCCTTCCCTCTCCTTCCCTCTCCTTCCCTCTCCGTCCCTCTCCGTCCCTCTCCTTCCCTCTCCTTCCCTCTCCTTCCCTCTCCTTCCCTCTCCTTCCCTCTCCTTCCCTCTCCTTCCCTCTCCTTCCCTCTCCTTCCCTCTCCTTCCCTCTCCTTCCCTCTCCTTCCCTCTCCTTCCCTCTCCTTCCCTCTCCTTCCCTCTCCTTCCCTCTCCTTCCCTCTCCTTCCCTCTCCTTCCCTCTCCTTCCCTCTCCTTCCCTCTCCTTCCCTCTCCTTCCCTCTCCTTCCCTCTCCTTCCCTCTCCGTCCCTCTCCGTCCCTCTCCGTCCCTCTCCGTCCCTCTCCGTCCCTCTCCGTCCCTCTCCGTCCCTCTCCGTCCCTCTCCTTCCCTCTCCTTCCCTCTCCTTCCCTATCCCTGCTCCAGTGCTGTAAACCCTAAAGAATCCACGCCACGCCAACCCCTCCTGGTGCTGTCCACATTGGTGAGGCTGTACGAGCAGGCAGAGACCCCTGGCTACGGCAGCATCTGCCAGATGCTCATGTTCCTCAGCGACTCCTCTTTCCCTTACCCCTTCCTGCTCCACGGCTGTAAACCCGAAACCCCCAGGTGCTGTCCACGCTGGTGCGCCTATACCAGCAAGCCGAAACCCCCGACTACGGCAGCATATGCCAGATGCTCATGTTCCTCAGCGACGCAGCAGGGGTGGCGGCCACACTGGACCGACTCATCAAGGGGCACCACGAGTCTGACGCCCTGTTAGCCTACCAGGTCGCCTTTGACCTGTTTGAGAATGAGTTTCAGCAGTTCCTGCTGTTGGTGAGGGATGCTCTGCCTGACCCGCCGCCCCCGCTTGCGCCTACCCCTGCTGTTCCGGCTTCTGCTGATGCTGATGCCGCTGCTGCTGCTGCTGCTCCGGAGGCGGATGGTGCTGCTTCTGCTGCGGCTGCTCCTGCAGCAGCTGATTCTGAGGCAGCGGCGGCTGGTGGTGAGGCTGCTGCAACAGGCGCCGCAGCAGCAGAGGGAGGCAGTGCTGCTGATGCTACTGATGCGGCTGCAGCAATGGAGACCGAGGAAGGGAAGGAGGGAGAAGGAGCAGCAAAGGCAGAAGGGGGAGAGGTTGCAGATGCTGAGGAAGGGAAACCAGGTGAAGACGGGGCACCCAAGCCTGCTGCCGAGGCTGACGGGACAACCACCATGGACACGGCCGAGGCAGCTGGTTCGGCCGAAGCTGCAGGTTCAGGGGAGGGCGAGGCGGCTGCCGAGGCTGCCCCGAGCGAGGAGGTGGTGTATGCAGAGCGACTTGCGAAGCTGAAGGGGATTCTGACGGGGGAGACTCCTATTGGCCTGACCCTGCAGTTCCTGTACAGCCACAACAAGTGAGTGCTTGTTATTCAATTAGTAGATGGTGGTAATGCTGTTTAGGGCTGGTGCCAGCATCACACCAGTTGGCCTCACCCTGCAGTTCCTCTACAGCCACAACAAGTGAGTGCTGGCTTTGGGGTTGGGGCTTAGGGGTTTAGGGTGTGTCAGTGTCCGTGTGTTGGGGTCAGTGTATAAGGAGCGACTGGCGAAGCTGAAGGGGATTCTGACGGGGGAGACGCCGATTGGTCTCACTCTGCAGTTCCTGTACAGCCACAACAAGTGGGTGCAGGTTTTAGGGTGTAGGGTATGTTATAGCTAGAGTCCTCAAAGGGATAAAGCAGTTCCAGAGCCCCACTGTACCTGGTCTAATCCGCCCCTATTTTACTCTTTGCCTCTTCACTTCCCTCTTGTAACCTGGGAGACGCACAGCAGCGTGTGCCACAGTGCCACCATCGTAACCCTCCCTTAAAGCCCCTCCTTTTCCTCCTCTGTTTCCCATGCCCTCCTGTTCCACGTCTTACCTGGCAGGTCGGACCTGGGGGTGCTGAAGGCGATCAAGCAGGTGGTGGAGTCAAGGAACAGCGTGTGCCACAGCGCCACCATCGTATGCTAGCCCCCCCCTCCCCCTGCTCCCCAATTCCCACTTACTCCCGTGCTATCTCCCCCCTCTTTCCCGTCTTTCCACACAGGGCGGACTTGGGAGTGTTGAAGGCGATCAAGCAGGTGGTGGAGACGCGCAACAGCGTGTGTCACAGCGCCACCATTGTGGCCAACGCATTCATGCATGCGGGCACGACTGTCGACACCTTCCTCAGAGACAACCTGGTGAGTGCGGTCAGTCATGCACTCATGCAAGTGCTTACGCATGTACTCATGTAGGTGCTCATGCTTTTGCACTTGTTCATGCATGCGGGCACTGACAGACAGTCGACACCTTCCTCAGAGAGACAACCTAATGAGCACACTCATGCATGCGCTTATGATCAATAATAGGGGCCACCTGCAGTAGGGGCGTTTCCTCGTGGCTGTCATCTAATACACCTACCCCGAACCCCCACTGCAGGATTGGCTGAGTCGAGCGAACAACTGGGCGAAATTTAGTGCAACAGCCGGCCTGGGAGTGATCCACACGGGGCACCTGCAGCTGGGGTGCTCCCTCATGGCTTCCTAGCTGCCCCTCAACTCTCTCTCCTTGTCCCATTTCTTGCAAACCCAAACCCTGAACCCTCAGGATTGGCTGAGCTGAGCAACCAATTGGGCGAAATTCAGTGCCACAGCCGGGCTGGGGGTGATTCACAGGGGGCACCTGCAGCAGGGGCGCTCCCTCATAACTCCCTACCTGCCCCTCAACTCTCTCTCCTTGTCCCATTTCTTGCAAACCCAAACCCTGAACCCTCAGGACTGGCTGAGCCGAGCAACCAATTGGGCGAAATTCAGTGCAACAACCGGGCTGGGGGTGATTCACAGGGGGCACCTGCAGCAGGGGCGCTCCCTCATGGCTCCCTACCTGCCCCTCAACTCTCTCTCCTTGTCCCATCTCTTGCAAACCCAAACCCCGAACCCTCAGGACTGGCTCAGCCGAGCAACCAATTGGGCGAAATTCAGTGCAACAGCCGGGCTGGGGGTGATACACAGGGGGCACCTGCAGCAGGGGCGCTCCCTCATGGCGCCCTACCTGCCCCACGGGGCTGGGGGCGGCGCAGGGGCAGCAGGGGGAGCCGGGGGCCTGAGTGGGAGTGCGTTTTCGGAGGGCGGGGCGCTGTATGCTCTGGGGCTTATTCATGCCAACCACGGGGAGAGCATCAAGGGGTTTCTGCTGGAGAGCCTCCGCAACACCAGCAATGAGGTGCGCGTGGGGAGAGGGTTTAAAGTTTAGGGACAGGGGTTTTGGGGCAGTAGGTGGGGCAGGAGGAGCATCAAGGGCTTCCTGCTCGAGAGCCTCCGCAACACCAGCAACGAGGTGTGCGCAGTGGCAGGGGGCTATGGTGTAGGGTTAGTGGAATGTGGGGGAGGAGGATCATCAAGGGCTTCCTGCTCGAGAGCCTCCGCAACACCAGCAACGAGGTGTGTGGAGGGGCAGGGGACTGAGGATCTGGGGGTTTACATGAGGTAAGTGCAGCAAGTCTTCTCCAGCATCCCGAAACTGCAAGTTTAGCTTTCGCCACATTACCCCTCAGCCTCCTAAATTTTCAAATCCCATAAACTCCAAACCTTCTCAACGCAAACCCCCCTGCAGACGATCCAGCACGGGGCGTGCCTGGGCGTGGGGCTGGCGGGCATGGGCACGGGCGACGAGGAGGTGTATGAGGACGTGAAGAGTGTGCTCTACACTGACAGCGCCGTGGCTGCCCTCAATGCTCCCAATCCCCAATCTTTAAACCCTGAACCCTGCAGACCATTCAGCATGGCGCTTGCCTGGGAGTCGGCCTGGCGGGCATGGGCACGGGCGACGAGGAGGTGTATGAGGACGTGAAGAGCGTGCTCTACACTGACAGCGCCGTGGCTGCCCTCCCCTTACCCCTTAAACCCCAAACCCTCAACCCCTTCAACTTTGAACAGACTATCCAGCACGGCGCGTGCCTGGGAGTGGGGCTGGCGGGCATGGGCACCGGAGACGAGGAGGTGTATGAGGACGTGAAGAGCGTACTCTACACTGACAGCGCCGTGGCGGGCGAGGCGGCGGGGATCGCGATGGGGCTGCTGCTGGTTGGGTCGGCGAGCGAGCGGGCGGCGGAGATGCTGGCTTATGCCCATGACACGCAGCATGAGAAGATCATCAGGTGGGGAATGGGGTCGGCTAGAGGAATAGGGGATTCTTCTATGAAAACACACACAGTGCTCTTTCATCCAGTATCGGCGGCGGAGGTGCTAGCGTATGCCCATGACACGCTGCATGAGAAGGTCATCAGGTGGGGGGATGGGTCGACTAGAGGGTTAGGGGATTATCATATGGGCGCACACGCAGACACTGTGTGCAAAACTCTTTCATCCAAAAGCAACAGAGATGCTTGCGTATGCTCATGACATGACACGCTGCATGAGAAGGTCATCAGGTGGGGGGATGGGTCGACTAGAGGGTTAGGGGATTATCATATGGGCGCACACGCAGACACTGTGTGCAAAACTCTTTCATCCAAAAGCAACAGAGATGCTTGCGTATGCTCATGACATGACACGCTGCATGAGAAGGTCATCAGGTGGGGGGATGGGTCGACTAGAGGGTTAGGGGATTATCATATGGGCGCACACGCAGACACTGTGTGCAAAACTCTTTCATCCAAAAGCAACAGAGATGCTTGCGTATGCTCATGACATGACACGCTGCATGAGAAGGTCATCAGGTGGGGGGATGGGTCGACTAGAGGGTTAGGGGATTATCATATGGGCGCACCCGCAGACACTGTGTGCAAAACTCTTTCATCCAAAAGCGACAGAGATGTATGCGTATGCTCATGACATGACACGCTGCATGAGAAGATCATCAGGTAAGTGGGGGGATGAGCATGAGGTTACAGTTACGCATTCACAGAAAAATACACGCACCGGTACGCCACGCCATCAACAGAGATGCTATGAGGGTACAGATACGCACCGGTACGCCGGTACAGATATGCATTCAACAGAGATGCTATGGAGGCATGTACCGTGTACGCCACGCCATCACGATGGCCTACCGCGTGTAGGGAGGTGTATTTTGAGGCGCCTCAAAATACACCTCACTACATCCGGTAGCAACAGAGATGCTATGGAGGCATGTACGCCTCATGAGGCATGTACGCCACGCCATCACCATGGCCTACCGCAGCAACACTATGCAGGGTACGTTGATGGTACTTTTGAGAATTCTCAAAGGCATGTACCGTGCACGCCATCACCATGGCCTACCGCAGCAACACTATGCAGGGCCAACCAACCTCCCCTCAACATAAACACCCCACTTCCTCTCCTCCCTTTTCTCAACCTCCCCCTCCCTTTCCCTTCTCTCCTCCCCTTCCTCCCCCTCATCCCCCCTGCTGTGCCTTCCGTTGAGAATCCTCCAGAGGGCTGGCCGTGGGGATTTCCCTGGTGGTTTACGGCCGGGAGGAGGAGGCCGACATTCTCATCCAGCAAATTATGATTCCCATTCACCAACCCCCACTCACTCTCACAACCCCCAGAGGCCTGGCAGTGGGAAACTCTCTGGTGGTGTATGGGCGGGAGGAAGAGGCCGATATCCTCATCCAGCAAATGACGACAGACGCCGACCCGATCCTGCGCTACGTCGGCATGTACGCCATCGCCATGGCCTACCGCGGCACCGCCAACAACGGCGCCATTCGGCAGCTTTCCTTCCTCAACCTTCCCCTCCCTCGATATACCCCCCCCTCCCCCTCCCTCCCTCCCCTCCCCTTCCGCCAACACTGTGCACGGGCAACAACAGGGCGCACCGCCAACAACGACGCCATTCGCCGGCTTTCCTTCCTCAACCTTCCCCTCCCTTTCTCCTATCTGCTCCCCTTCCTGCTGTTTTTTCGGCTGAGAATCCTCCAGAGGCCTGGCGGTGGGGATTTCCCTGGTGGTGTACGGGCGGGAGGAGGAGGCCGATATCCTCATCCAGCAAATGACGACGGACGCCGACCCGATCCTGCGCTACGGGGGCATGTACGCCATCGCCATGGCCTACCGCGGCACCGCCAACAACGGCGCCATTCGGCAGCTTCTGCACTTTGCCGTCAGTGACGTCAGCGATGACGTCAGGCGCGCTGCCGTGCTGTGCCTGGGCTTCGTGCTGTGTGGGGAGCCGGATCAGGTGAGGGGGATGGGGGGTCTGCTTTCTTCTGTCTTTGTACTCTTTACTTGCTATCACACTGCTGTGCCTCAGCTTCGTGCTGTGTGGGGAGCCGGATCAGGTGAGGAGAGATAGGGAATGTGTTCGTTTTTGTCTCGCTACTCTCTTCTCTCCACTCTCTACTCTTTGCCGCTGTGCTGTGCCTGGGCGTTGTGCAGAGCCAGACCTGATGAGGGCCAGGTGCCCTGTGCTCTCCTCTTCCATCCCTCTCCTCTCGTTTGAGGTCCCCCGCATGGTGTCTCTCCTAACCGACTCCTTTATTCTCCCATTTCACCGCCCACGACCGCTCTCTCTCCTGTTGTACCGCTCCCCACCACCCTCTCTCCCTTTGTGCATGTCCACCAGGTCCCGCGCATGGTCTCCCTCCTAGCAGAGTCATTCAACCCGCACGTGCGCTACGGGGCAGCCATGGCAGTCGGCATTGCATGTGCCGGCACGGCCCAGCGAAGCGCTCTCGACCTGCTGGAACCACACTTCCTCACCGCTTTTAACCCATTGTTGTATCATTTTCAACCCCTCTCTCTGCCCTTGCACCACCCTCCACCGCTCTCGCTCCCCTTTCACCACCCTCCACCAATTGCTGCGCAGGTCCCTCGAATGGTCTCCTTGTTGGCCGAGTCCTTCAACCCCCACGTGCGCTACGGGGCAACTCACTCCCATCTGCCCATTGCATCTCCCATCAGGTCCCTCGAATGGTCTCCTTGTTGGCCGAGTCCTTCAACCCCCACGTGCGCTACGGGGCAGCCATGGCAGTCGGCATTGCATGCGCCGGCACGGCTCATCCTCCCTAGTTATCCCTTGTACCGCTCTCCACCGCTCCCTCAGGTTCCCCGCATGGTCTCCCTCCTGGCCGAGTCATTCAACCCGCACGTGCGCTACGGGGCACCTCACACGCACCTGCCCCCTCCCTCTTCCCTCTCCAATCTGTCTATGCAATCATGTGCCAACTGCGTCCCACCAGGTCCCCCGAATGGTTTCCTTACTCGCACAGTCCTTCAACCCGCACGTGCGCTACGGGGCAGCCATGGCGGTCGGCATTGCCTGTGCCGGCACGGCGCAGCGAAGCGCGCTGGACCTGTTGGAGCCGTTTCTCCTCCTCTTTTAACCGTTGTTGCACCACTTTCAACCCCGCTCTATCCCCTTGTACCTCCCGCCACCGCTCTCGCTCCCGTTGCACCACCCTCCACCACTTGCCGTGCAGGTTCCCCGCATGGTCTCCCTGCTCGCCGAGTCCTTCAACCCGCACGTGCGCTACGGGGCAGCCATGGCGGTCGGCATTGCCTGCGCCGGCACGGCGCAGCGTAGCGCCCTGGACCTGCTGGAGCCACTCACATCAGACGGGGTGGACTTTGTGCGGCAGGGCGCCTTAATTGCCACGGCCATGGTGCTCATGCAGTGCTCCCAAGAACGCGAGCCGCGCGTGGTGACCTTCAGGTGAGCCTTGGGCCTTGTCTGCCCCAGGAGAGGGAGCAGAGGAGCGCCCTCGACCTGCTGGAGCCACTCACATCAGACGGGGTGGACTTTGTGCGGCAGGGCGCCTTAATTGCCACAGCCATGGTGCTCATGCAGTGCTCGCAGAAGAGAGAGCCGAGAGTCGTCACCTTCAGGTGAGCCCCTCCCAGCATCTGGATGGGAAGGCCGTTGAGAAAACTTGAGAAGGCGATTCTCAACAAGCACGAGGACACCATGTGCAAGATGGGCGCCATTCTCGTTTGGGAATCCTCGACGCGGGCGGCCGCAACGTCACCATCTCTCTGCTCTCCCGCTCGGGTTACGATCGTGTAACCGCCGTCATCGGCATGGCTCTGTTCACCCAGTACTGGTACTGGTTCCCGCTGATCCAATTCTCCTCTGTCCCTCTCTCTCCTCCCTTCTCTCCTCACCACCTCCCCCCCCTCCCAGGCGTCAGCTCGAGAAGGCCATTCACGACAAGCACGAGGACACCATGTGCAAGATGGGCGCCATTCCCCTGTCCCACACTCACTCATTCTTATCCTACCTTCTCCTCCCTCCAGGCGCCAGCTTGAGAAGGCCATTCACGACAAGCACGAGGACACCATGTGCAAGATAGGCGCCATTCCTCTGTCCCACACTCACTCATTCTTATCCTACCTTCTCCTCCCCCCAGGCGCCAGCTTGAGAAAGCGATTCACGACAAGCACGAGGACACCATGTGCAAGATGGGCGCCATTCCTCTGTCCCACACTCACTCATTGTTATCCTACCTTCTCCTCCCCCCAGGCGCCAGCTTGAGAAAGCGATTCACGACAAGCACCAGGACACCATGTGCAAGATGGGCGCCAGTCCTCTGTCCCACACTCACTCATTCTTATCCTACCTTCTCCTCCCCCCAGGCGCCAGCTTGAGAAAGCGATTCACGACAAGCACGAGGACACCATGTGCAAGATGGGCGCCATTCCCCTGTCCCACACTCACTCATTCTTATCCTACCTTCTCCTCCCCCCAGGCGCCAGCTTGAGAAAGCGATTCACGACAAGCACGAGGACACCATATGCAAGATGGGCGCCATTCTCGCCTCGGGAATCCTCGACGCGGGCGGGCGCAACGTCACCATCTCCCTCCGCTCCCGCTCCGGTTACGACCGCGTAACCGCCGTCATTGGCATGGCACTTTTCACGCAGTACTGGTACTGGTTCCCGCTCCTGCACTTCCTCTCTCTCTCCTTCTCGGCAACGGCCCTCGTCGGGCTTCAAGGGGATCTCAAGGCGCCGAAATTCGATTTTGTTTCGGAGTGCCGGCCGGGGTTGTTTGCGTACCCGCCGCCTGCGGTGGTGGCGAGTAGCAGCGCTGCTGTGAAGGCGCCGGTTGCGGTGCTGTCGACGGCTGCGAGGGCGAAGGGGAGGGCGAAGGAGAAGGAGGAGAAGAAGGAGAAGGAGGAGAAGGAGGAGGAGGAGAAGAAGGAGGGGGGAGAGGGGAAGGCCGGGGAGGGCGGGGTTGCAGCAGCGATGGATGGAGTGAAGGGGGGCGAGGAGGAGGGAGGGAAGAAGGGAGAGGAGAAGAAGGAAGGAGATGCCATGGAGGTATGTGCTCGTCTGCCCTACCCCCCCTCATTTCCTCTCTAAGTCTTTTCGTTGCGCACCTCGCAACTTCCCCTTGCCTCCCTCTCTCCTCCCCTCCCCCGCTTGCCCCCTGCCTCCCAAACACTCGCGTTCTCTCCCCCCTTGCTCTATTGAATTTTCATTTGAGAACTTTTGATAGTGATTCCAAAAAAGCCCGCCCCTCCCAGACCACTCTATCTCTCGCCCCCCTTGCTCTCACATTCTTCACCTTAACCTCCTGACTCCTAACCCTTCTGTTATCTAAATTTCAGTTCTCTTTGTGGCCAAAGTCTTGCTTGTGCACCCGTTTCACTAGGTGATTTCCACCACTCTCCACCCCTCTCCACTTCTCTCTCCCGCCCTTTCTCCCAACCTCTGTCTCACCCACTCTCCCGTCCTCCCTCCGCTTTCTCGTCCGTGAAACTCCTCCAACTTCCACCTTCCACCCTCCATGCTCCCTCTCTCTCAACCTTGGTTTAGGTTGAGGGTTCTGATGCCACTGCTGGTGCGGCTGCTGAAGCCAAAAAGCCGGCTGAACCAACGTCTGAAATCCTCCACAATCCTGCCCGAGTGCTGCCCGCACAAGAAAAATACATCAAGTTCCCGGACACCTGCCGCTATGCACCAATCAGGAAGCCGACCTCCGGGTTTTTGCTCCTCAAGGATCGCCAGCCCGGGCAGCCCGAAGAATTCGCGCTGACCGACGGGCCGAATGCTGCTGCGGCTGGAAATTCCGGTGCTGCCCGGACTGCCGCTGCTGCTGCCCCAGCTGCTGCTGCTGCTCCTGTGGGAGCGTTCAGGAGGAGTGGGGGAGGAGCGGGGGGGAGGGGGAGAGGGGGGGGTGCGCCCCCTCCCCCACCTCCTCCTGCTGATGATGATGAAGATGATGATGAGCCTGCTCCTCCTGAGGCCTTTGATTTCCGTTAAGTCGGGCCTGTCGTTTGAGTCGACTCAAAGGTCTCCCCACCACGCCCTGCTGATGATGATGAGATCGAGGATGATGAGCCTGCTCCTCCTGAGGCCTTCGATTTCCGTTAATCTTGGCTTGGCTTGGCTGGCATGGTTCGGCATAAGTCCACCCCACCTCCGCTTGCTGATGATTATGAAGATGATGACGAGCCTGCCCCTCTGGAGGCCTTTAATTACTGTTAATGCTGGGTTGTGTGTTTGTTGCCCTGTTTGAGTACCTTTAGATCTTGCAAGTTCGACTGCGTATTTGACCCAACCATTTGCAAACAGGTTACCTGTTTTGCGTGACTGAGGTGTTGAATGATGATAAGTTTGCCCAGTGTTTCAAACACACTTATGAACACGGGCACAACAAAACGGATTGTTAGATTGTCGACGGAGCATGCTGAATCAAATTATTAAACCCTCAAGTGTATCGAGTTACGAAGGTGCACTCGATTTTCATTATGGTTGTACATACTTTCAGGTGGGTTTGGGCCTATCTCGGGTGTTTTTTTTCGCCAACATTCGCCTCCTTGATAAAAAGGATTTGTGAACAACCAAATTGGATCTATGAATGTTGGGCACATAGTTGGATGGCAGGGTTTGGTGTCCACCGGCACGTGGGGTTACCAGCCCGAAATAGGCGGGTCCAGGGTGTCAAAGTACAATCTTACTTGTAGGCTATAGTGGGGCACTCCTTATGGGGTACAGCACTTTTAGGGTTAGTACTTGTACCCCAACTCTTGCTAATCCATTAATTCCTGCATAGTTATTCTGACATGGTATTCAGAGCAGGAAACCTGTTAGGTTTTTAGGGCCCACCGATAGTTCCGCTCTCTCCTGCCCGAAGCGCCCTTGCGCTGTCCGGCCCTGCTCGCTCAGTGTCGTGCTGCCCTGCAGCTACTCGCACTGCCTACCCTAGCGCGCTGCCCAGCTGTCACGCGCGCTCCTCCTGCCCGCGAGCGGCTACTGCCCCGCGCGCTCCTACTGCCCGCGAGCGGCCCTTGCCTCGCGCGCCCCTACTGCCCGCGAGCGGCCCTTGCCTCGCGCGCCCTACTGCCTGCGAGCAGCCCCTGCCCCGCGCGCCACTGCTGCCCGCGAGCAACCCCTGCCCCGCGCGCCACTGCTGCCCGCGAGCAGCCCTTGCCCCACGCACCCCTGCTGCCCGCGAGCAGCCTCTGCCCTAGCGCGCCCCAGCAGCCCAGCGCGTCGCGCCCTGCTGCAGCCCGCGCGTCGCGCTCTGCTGCTCCGCGCGTCGCGCCCTGCTGCAGCCCGCACGCCGCGGCCTGCTGCCCTGTGCGTCGCGCCCTGCTGCAGCCCGCGCGTCGCGCTCTGCTGCTCCGCGCGTCGCGCCCTACTGCAGCCCACGCGTCGCGCTCTGCTGCCCCGCGCGTCGCGCCCTACTGCAGCCAGCGCGTCGCGCCCTGCTGCCCCACGCGTCGCGCCCTGCTGCAGCCCGCGTGTCGCGCCCTGCTGCCCTGCACAGCGCGCGCCCTGCTGCCCGCGCCGCCCAGGCCGAGCCGCGCCGCCCAACCCGAGCCGCCCTGCCCAACCCGAGCCGCCCTGATGCTACTACTGCTGCTGCTGCTGCTCGTTCTACTGCTGCTGCTGGTGGAGGTGCTGCTGGGAGTGCTGGAGGTGCAGCCGCCCAGCCCTACCGAGCCGCCCTGCTGCTACCACTGCTGCTGCTGCTGCTCGTGCTACTGCTGCTGCTGGTGGAGGTGCTGCTGGGAGTGCTGGAGGTGTGGCTGGTGCTGGAGGTGCTGGAGGTGCGGCTGGGAGTACTGGAGGTGCTGCTGGTGCTGGAGGTGCTGGACCTACTACAGACCGTCATTGCCTGTCATGGCCACTATCGCGGCAGTTGCAGCGGCTAGGGGTGGACAGCAGCGGTTACTGCCTCTCCCGGACGACCCCACCCCTCAGCAGCTTCGTGAGTGGGTTTTTCAGCGAGGCCGTCCTGGTGGTGGAGGTTTTGGTTTTATGTGGCCTCAGCGACCTCGCGACTGTGCTTCTCAACGATGCGTCCCTGGTTGTGTAGAGGTTGCTGCTCTCGGTTCTAGTGAGTCTGATGCCGCTCCAGGTGCTGGTGAGTCTGCTGCAGCTCTAGGTGCCCGTGAGTCTGCCGACGCTCTAGGTGCTAGTGCGTCTACTGCCACAGGTCCTGCCTCAGTTGAGGCCTTGCAAACTTTCACGCTTGACTCAGGCGCGTCACGTTGCTTCTTTCGTGATTGCACCACAGTCACACCACTCGCAGCACCTGTCCCAGTCTCACTGGCTGACCCCTCTGGGGGCCCAGTAGTTGCGCGAGCCTCCACTGTCCTCCCGTGTCCAGCAGTCCCCTCCGGTTCTCTCTCAGGTCTCCACCTCCCCACGTTCTCGACGAACTTGGTGAGCAACGCTGCCATTCAGGATGTCTGGGTTGATACCTTTATTCCTGGAGGGCAGCGTGTGGCGATCTGTATGTGCTCCCGGACTGGCAGTCACCTAGCTACGTTCACTCGACGGCCTGGGTCTAGTCTGTACACACTGACCACTGCGTCTGCACAGGTGGCTGAGTCAGGTCAGGTGGCTGCGTCGAGTCGGGTGTCTGCGTCAGGACAGTTAGCTGCATCTTGCTCGTGCAGAGTACTCACGCACGAGACTCAGCGCTGGCACCACCGTCTTGGTCACCCCTCCCTGCCGCGTCTGCGCAGCATGCACTCCCGTCTCCTTGTCTCTGGCCTCCCCAGGTCCCTGCCCCCTCTGCCGAGCTCGCTTTCCCCGCCGTGCCTTCCTTGCGTCGAGGGGCGGCAGCGCGCCGCTCCTCACTCCTCCGAGTTTCCTCCGACCACTGCTCCTCTGCAGACTCTCCGCATGGACGTGTGGGGCCCGGCCCCCATCAGTGGAACGGACCGCGAACGCTACTTCCTGCTGGTTGTTGACGACTACACACGCTACACCACTGTCTTCCCCTTGCGGCGCAAGGCGGACGTCAGTGGTGTCCTGATCCCCTGGATCCGTGCTACTCGTCTCCAGTTGCACGAGCGGTTTCAGCAGGACTTCCCAGTCCTGCGTCTGCACTCTGACAGGGGCGTTGAGTTCTCTTCTGACCTTCTTCTGGGTTCTGTCGAGACGAGGGCATCCGCCAGTCGTTCACGCTTCCGGCCTCTCCTCAGCAGAATGGGATTGCTGAGCGTCGCATTGGCTTGATCATGGAGGGTGCTCGCACCTTTATGATCCATGTGGCTGCTCCCCATTTTCTGTGGCAGTTGGCGGTCCGATACGCTGTGCATCAGTTCAACCTCTGGCCCCGTGTCTCTGAGCCAGAGACCTCTCCCACACTCCGGTGGACGGGGAAGGCTGGCGATGCGTCAGTGTTTCGGGTCTGGGGCGCGCTCTCCCTTGTTCGCGATGCCAAAGCGAGCAAGCTCTCCTCTCGCACTCTCCGCTGCGTCTTCCTTGGCTTCCCCACTGACGCCCCGCCGTGGCAGTTCTACCACCCACGTTCGCGTCGAGTCTTCGCCTCCCAGGACGTCACCTTTGACGAGTCTGTCTGTTTCTACCAGTTACACCCGCACGCGTCCCACCCGGTCCCCATAGCACCCCTCTTCCTGGTACCAGTCCCCCCCCCGGTAGACCCCCTCCCCCCACAGGGTCCTGCTCCCTCAGGTGTGTCTCAGGTCGACCCACCCCCCTTGGATGAGCCAGTGGAGATCTCTTCTGACTCCTCTGGCCCAGCTGAGGGGGGTGACCCAGTTGCGGACGACACAGCGGCCACTCGCCGCTCTCCACGCTTGGAGACCCCCCCGGGTTTTCCGCCTCGACCGTCTTTGCCGCCTCCGCAGCCTGCTGCTGTGGACTCTGGAGGTACTGTTGGTGGTGAGACTGGGGGTGCGGGTTCAAGGGGTGCTGCGACCGAGGGTACGAGTTCTGGGGGGTGCTGCGACCGAGGGTGCGGGTTCTGGGGGTGCTGCGACTGGCGGTGCTGACTCTGGGGGCCCTGCGAGTTCTAGTGACGGTGGAGCTGTGGGTGTCCCTGCTGGAGGTCCTGGAGCTGGACAGCCTAGTCCACCTGAGGCGCCCTCGCCGGAGTGGATCCGTGCGTGGATCGTTCGACGTAGCAGCCCTGGTGGTGGAGGTTACGGTCCTGCTGCTACTGGAGGTCCTGCTGGTGCTGGAGGTGCTGGAGGTGCTGCTGGTGCTGGAGGACCTGGAGCTGCTGGAGCTGCTGGTGTTGGAGGTGCTGGTCCTGCTGCTGGTGCTGGAGGTGCTGGAGGTCCTGCTGGTGCTGGAGCTGCTGGTCCTGCTGCTGGTCCTGGAGCTGGACAGCCTAGTCCACCTGAGGCGCCCTTGTCGGAGTGGATCCGTGCGTGGATCGTTCGGCGTAGCAGTCCTGGTGGTGGAGGTTACGGTCCTGCTGCTACTGGAGGTCCTGCTGGTGCTGGAGGTGCTGGAGCGGCTGGTGCTGGAGGTGCTGGTCCTGCTGCTGGTGCTGGAGGTGTTGGAGGTGCTGGAGGTGCTGGAAGTGCTGGTGCTGGAGGTGCTGGTCCTGCTGCTGGTACTGGAGGTGCTCGAGGTCCTGCTGGTGCTGGAGCTGCTGGTCCTGCTGCTGGTGCAGGTGGTGCTACTGATGCTGGAGGACCTGGAGCTGCTGGTGCTGGAGCTGCTGGTCCTGCTGTTGGTGCTAGAGGTACTGGAGCTGCTCGTGCTGGAGGTGCTGGAGGTGCTGGAGATGCTGGTGCTGGAGGTGCTGGTCCAACTGCTGGTGCTGGAGGTCCTGCTGGTGCTGGAGCTGCTGTTCCTGCTGCTGGTGCTGGAGGTGCTGGAGGTGCTGGAGGTGCTACTGGTGCTGGAGGACCTGGAGCTGCTGGTGCTGGAGCTGCTGGTCCTGCTGTTGGTGCTGGAGGTACTGGAGCTTCTCGTGCTGGAGGTACGGTTGCGGCTGGTGCTCTTCGCCACCTTCTCAGTCTTCCGCCAGCTGCCACTGACTTCCCTGT